CACCACAATTGTTGGAAATCTAGCTTATCTAATGGTCGGAAGTAGACCAGACATTGCCTATGCAGTGAGTGTAATTTCCAGAAATTTGGAGAAACCAACTCAAGTTGATGTGGTGAAGTTAAAGAGAATGCTGCGATACTTGCAATACATTGTGGACATGGGTATATTTTATAAAAGGGATTATAAAAAAGGCATTATAGAGTGTTACAGTGATGCAGACCATGGCGGCGCTATAAGTACTGGAAGATCAACGACAGGAGTGTTATGTCTATATGCTGGTGGACCAGTCTCATGGTTAAGTCGAAGACAAACCAGTGTTGCCATCTCAACAACGGAGGCTGAGATTGTGGCAGCCAGTGAAGCTGCGAGAGAGTGTGTCTGGCTAACCAGATTGTTTAGCGGTTTAGTCGAACTGCAGCATGTACCAGTACTACAAGTTGACAACGAAGCTGCTTTAAGATCCGGAATTTCATCGCCGAACCAAACATATCCGTCTAAGACATTTCTTTGTCAGAGAACTGGTTCTAGAAGGAGACTTGGTGGACGACAAAGTGTCAGCAAAATCGCAATTAGCCGACATACTGACAAAACCTTTACCTCGACCAAGATTTGATAAACTTATTGGTTTGCAAAAGGTGTCCAACGAGAGAAGATAATGGAGTAAACTCCTGTATTCAATATGGATTAATCATTTCTTAGCAAAAATAAAACCATTGGTCGATTAGGTACTCATGCTTCACAAAACTTAAGGCTGATATTGTGTAATCATCTCTTGCTTCTATCGATTCAAAAGTAACGTTCACTGTTGAGACTGATGCATCAGAATTTTCCATAGCGGCCACACTTTTCCAGACGTTCTCTAAATGATTCCGAACGACGCCAAACTTCCGTATCTTTCATGTTAAATCAAACACATTCAAGAAAGATAAAAAATGAAAAGATAGAACGATGGCCTCTGAAACTATCTTGTTTTAAATATTCAAAAATTGTACAGAGCAAACATAAATGTTTACACATGTAATGTGAAAGATAGTAAAGTAATAAAAACTTCGATAAATTATAATTACAAAAATGAACCTTGTCACTATCAATTATAGTATACTTTTTATTGCTCTTTGTACAGAAACTAATCCGAGTCGCTTACCACTACATCATCGAGCTTTTCACTTGTTTGTACCTATAGCAGGGATATTGCAATATGTGGTAATATTAGTTCTTGAACCCGTAAATTAGAGATTGCGCAACTGCTATCGCTCCTCGATTTTCTGAACAGAAAATCGAAAGTAAATCAAGTCGGTAGAGCCCTCACACGATGAGAAAGTATTTAAAAAAAACATTAGTTCCCGAAATCAAACTAGATATCGCTACGGTAGGTTTTTAATTTCTCCATGACAACCTTTCCGGTTTTCTTTCATGTTTAAAAGTAAATTAGTTTCAAATTCAATAAAAACTGATGTTCTATTTGTGCTCTTTCGAATTTGTATTGATATCTAAGTTTCGAACTTTTCAAATTTCAGTTTTTTAATATATTAGTTAAAAGGAACGGTAATAACTGTTTTTGGTCCATTCGTTTCCTGCAAAAATCAACTTTTGCTAGAGACGTTATCTAATGGAAATGCTTTTTTAGTGATTTCCGTTTTTTTTTAATACTTCCTCATTGTCGCGACACCACAGATCGTGAGTTTTAAATTCGATGTCGAAACGATTTGTGACCAATATTGACAAACTATGAATCTCAGGAGTAAACAAACACGTGTAATCTTCCATACATTTCTTATAGAATTATATTACTTTACTTTATAGAATTACCTGAACAGCCTAGAAATATCTAAAATAAATAATAAAATATATTTATTGGAACAAAAAGTTTTACAAGATTATTGTGTACGATAATAGCCACGGTACTTAAAAAACAGGTATATGAAAAGTCTCATTTAACGAACATATTATATTATCCTTATCTGAAAGAGACAAATTACCTCTGTACTTGATCGGCTCTCTTTTCAACTGGGAGTACTTTGTAGTGTTATACAGGGAGGAACAAAATGACCGACACAGCCAAAAGTTTCAAGTTAGGTTACATGCAAACGTTCATTTTATTTGACAAATATTTAAAAATAGAGAAGGTGTAAAAATTGAGTAAAAATTTTAAATTTCTAAGTATTGACAGCCCTTTAACGCGCATGCGCAATATCGATTGTGCGCAGATTACAACGGACCGCGAAATACATTAATTTAATTTAATTTAATTATTTACCGATATCTTAATGATAGTCGATGCTGAAAATGTTCAATTCTTCTCTGAAGACAGCTAAGCACGCTCTTTTGCATGCCAGTGTATGCACGCGCAAAACACATCACATTTCACACAAAACTAAACACAATCTTCACTAAACTAGACATAACACTCAAGACGAACACTCTAGTATCTTAATAACAACAATTCAATTAAAAATGCACTAGAACAAAACAAACATCGACAAAAAAGACGCTTCGCAGCGGTGCGTCGGCGGCGATGCGCAACAACACTCCAGCGCAAAAGGTCGGCGGCGACTGATCGACCGGACAATACCAACAGAATAATGAAGCCGCCTGGCGGCTGGCGGGTGGGCGGGGCTTTGATATTGAGGGACGAACTCGGTTCATATTTTTTTTATTCGTCTTTTGATATCACTCGTTTTTTAAAGTTCTTTTTAAATGCTATTTTAATAACAAATTCCTCAATGTTTTTAAAACAAAGTTCATTTGTGTTAATGATGAATCGCTGGAAGATTTGTGAGTTTATCGAGTTTAATTAACGATCCCGTTGTTAAAGGAGTATTACCCCATTCAAACAATTCTTATGGAGAACTGCTTTTTTAAAATAACGTAAGTTAATGTTAGATTGATCTCTCTACAATAATTTAGGAAATTTTACACTCGGTTTCTTAATTGAGTATTTAAAGTTAAACGTCTCAAACTAACATCACTTAGTTTTCGTTTCCGATTTTAGTTTTTTGATGATCAGTTGATAGCAGTTTGATAAAACTAAGACTATTTGACTTGTGAAATTAAAAAAAACTTAGGTTATTAAGAATAAGCAGTAGAAATTTTCTACTTTTTTCAAATCATAAACCGGCTGTTAGTCTGTAAATCGATTTAAGCATTTTGACTGCCTTGTTTATTGATTGACTGGTAGAATTTGCATGAAAGCAGTCTTTTAAATCACAAACTAGTTTATTTCGTTTTTAGAAATGAAGAAGTCAATGACCGATTTAAAACTTTTCCTTAGTACGTCCCAAAAACAGCTGACTCAGGGTTGAAAACACTCATTTGTTTTCAAAAACTTTGTAATTTAATATCTCCGAAACTATTTGACCTAGACTTATATTTTTTTTACATTATATTAAAGACAAATAGTAATCTCCAGGAACCTCGGGAGTGTCGGTCGTTCTGTTCCACCCAGTATAGTACTTAGTCCATGGCGACTACCGCATTACCGCATAACACATATCCATAAATTTAGACATTTGGTGGTTCTTAGTCATTGGTGAAATGCATTTTCATCTTAGTCGATTCCTAAATATTTAGGCGACTCCTAAATTTAGTGAAAACGGGCATTAGCCATACTGCCAAATCTTGAGTAGGTCAATCTATTGAAATAATAGGGTCGATGTTGAGCAAGTCTTAAATGTTATAAGAGAGAGGACGTTCTTAGAAAATAATCTTTCAAGATACATAAATGAGCTAAACTTTAATAGAAGGACATCTTTGTTTATTAGCATGACCGATAAGGTGGACATGATTTTTCCCCATCTGGATAGTGAACTTACACTATTTGCATTGGGAAAATATCGATTACGTCTAGCTAGATACTATTATGGTGAACATGTATGATCCCGGGGTGAATAGGTACTGAATCGAATACCCTAGACTTTACAGTATATTTTAATTAAGTCATTTTTGAATCCTCTGGATGAAATAAATCAGGAAGAAAAAAGCAGGGCTGCTTTTTGCCCCTTGCCCAATTTATTGCCGTTTTTTCTCAGTTTAAACAAGGTCTCCCGCCATAGACTTATGAACCGATGGCATAAAGTTTCGACTTTTACGAGTGCTTCGATTATGTATTGTTGATCGAAGCACAAGTGCTTTGTAACAGCTTAGACCGAATAAATGTTTTTGATTTGATATAAACATTTTTCAAACAATCTAGATAATGATCAGTAAATTATAACATAACTAAGCAATGTTTATTATTATTTGCCTGACAATTAGATAGTCGCACCGCAAAATAATTGCTTGGGACGCAAAATTATGCAATTGGAACCAAATAAAATATTTCTATATGTAGTTTATTTGTTTGATATACCTACATATTTAAATTTTGGTGAGCAATATTAAGAGATAGATAGCGTCTTATTGATAAAATTAGAAAAATTATTTTAATAAAGGTGGGTGTTTATGTTTAAAAACCCTTAAGGGTTTAAAAACCCTTAAGTTTAAAAATAGCAAAAATAATATTTTTATAAGCAGTTTACATATTTGTTTGATATACCTACCTACATATTTGAATTTTGGTGAGCAACATTAAGAGATGGATTGCGTCTTATAGAAAAATTTGAAAAGTTCGTTAAATAAAAGTTTATAAACCCTAAACCATTATATTTCTGTGGTACCTTTAAAATAACATATTAAGGCATTTATACACAAACATTAACTATTGTGATAAAAATACCATTATCTACTCTTAATAAAACAATTTATAAACAGTTAAAAGTATGCATTAAGTATTTATTTTTACGCAATTAAAATTTTATTTTTATTTTTTACGTGCATATGGCAGCAAATTAATTAACAAACAGTAAAATTAAAAACGGGCACAATCGAACTCAGAATGAAAAAGTTTTGGATAATCAGAAACTATACATTAAAATCAAAATTGGCTCTCCCGAATATAGAGAATAAATAATCCATTACAATAAACTGATATCACATAATAAAATTAAGATGAAAATACATTTTTAACGATCGACATCTCCAAAAACTACATCTATTGTAGCAATTAATACTGCAACATCAGCTAGCATCATTCTTTCACACAAATGACCGAGTCCTAATAAATGCGTGTATGAAGATGGTCTAATATGAACGCGATATGGTCTAGAGCTACCGTCAGCTACCATGTACAAGCCTATTTCGCCCTTAGGAGCTTCTACTGCAGTGTATGTAGCTCCAGGTGGCACTATATATCCTTCTGTACATAATTTAAAATGATGAATAAGTGCTTCCATAGAAGTTTTCATCTCGATCCTTGAAGGCATAGTTATTTTTGAGTCATCTGTTTTTACTTCTCCTTCCGGCATAGTATCGATAACTTGATTGATTATTCTCAGAGACTGACGTAATTCCTCCAAACGGAGTAAATGACGATCGTAGCTGTCACCAAAAGTACCAACTGGAACATCGAAGTCATACAAATCATAACCATCGTAAGGATGCGTAATTCTCAAATCCCATTTTACTCCAGCACATCTTAACATTGGCCCAGTAAAACCACGGCTAATAGCTTCGTGAGCAGTTATTTCTCCAATTCCAGCAGTTCTGGCATAATATAATCTATTACCAGTGCAGACATCCTCGGTTTCATCGCAACGCTCTCCCATTTTTGAACATATTTCGTAAACATCATCGAGATAACCAATAGGTATATCTTGTGCAACTCCACCGGGCCTTACATATGCACAATGGACACGAGCCCCACAAAGTCTTTCAAAGAGTTCGTATAGTTTCTCTCTTTCTTCACACATCCAGAAAAATGGAGTGATTCCACCGGCATCAAGTACTGTCCCTGATATATTCAATAAATGATTTGCTACTCTGCATAGTTCACTGCATAAAACACGTATAGCCTTGGCTCGAGGAGGTGCTTCTATATTCAACAATGTTTCTACAGCGAGAGCAAAGCACTGTTCATTAGCAAGTGTCGAAACGTAATCCAGGCGATCCATGTATGGGAGACTTTGGTTGTAATGTTTATTCTCCATTAATTTTTCTGTGGCTCTATGTAGAAATCCTATGTGAGCATCAGCTCTGACCACAGTTTCGCCATCCAATTCTAAAATAAGACGTAGTACACCGTGAGCTGCCGGATGTTGTGGTCCAAAATTTATAAACATATTTTTTAGTTTACGTTCGACTGGATTAAGTTTAGAATTGTATATCATCTTGTAGTGTTGATCAACCTCTGGTTCAGGATAAAATATTGGTGCATTAAACTGTTTCATATAATCAACATCAGGGAACCAACGGTGTCCTCTATTCGCCGCAAATATCATAAGTTGGCGTGTCGGAATAATACAACTTTTTAATGTACTGAATTTAAATAACATTGTTATTTATAAAACAAATAATTACCGTTATGTTAATTCTAAAGTAGGTATAAACATCAAATATACTTAATTTATAGAATTTACTCTATGTTACAAATTCTCTGTCAAACATTACAATAAATCCAAAGAGTATTTAACTTAAACATATAAAAAGAATTTTCAGACAAGGTTCATTGTTTATACGTTTGTCTGTGATTCATACCAAGAATCTTTTTATCTCTTGGAGCTTCATCATGGCATACTTATTGGTCTAGGTTCAAAGTATTGCAAAATGATTACCTCAAAAATAAAACAACAACCCAATCAGCCACCATTTATTTATTTTTGTTTTAAATAATACTTCTCAGCATGCATAGTTATTTCAATAATCTTGTCTAATAATAGTCAAACTTACATTGAAAATTATTATTCAATAAAACATAACATAATTTTATTGATATTTTTCCACGAAGGTAGGGACAAAAAAAATTTTACTCGAAGCCTGCAGGCACACTACAGCCAAAGTCAAAAAAATAGTTTTCCCACGACCATGAGGACACTGTTTTTATATACAAATATTTTTTCGAGTCCTATTATTTGTACTGATTACAACATTTTGAATGTTTTTCCGAGTCTTGTTATTTAAACTGATAGCAACATTTTAGATAACATAGGTGAATTTTTATAAAAACGAAAAATTTGTTCCTTAAACTATATAGATTTATATAGAATCTATTTAATAGGTATTACCAAAATGTATATATATATATTTCTTGTAATATACCTATAGTATATAGGTACGTTAAAACTGTAAAATATCAAAAAAACTGTATAATTTATAAAAAAACTAGTGGACGCCCGCGACTTCGTCCGCGTGGAAGTCGGTATCCCGTGGGAGTGAGAAGTTTTCCCAGTAAAAAGTACCCTATGTGTTATTCTGATGTATAACCTATATTGCTGTAAAGTTTTATCCAAATCCGTCCAGTAGTTTTTTCGTGAAAGAGTAACAAACATCCATACATCCATACTTACAAACTTTCGCCTTTATAATATTAATAGGATATTTTAATACAAAATACTAGAACATCATTGCAAAATACCACATCATTTTCATTCGGAATGTTAACACTCACATTTGATTTCGACTTACATAATAAATACAATTTTACATATTTTAAACAGACACACAATATTAGGTATTTACATATAGGCTTAACTACTGTTTTATATAGGGTTGGCGTCATATTCATACATTTACCAATTTACATGGCTATCATAACTCAGACATACTGCTACACTTAACATTAACTTAGCATTGTTAATACATTTTTATAAAATACATACATCACTTACAACAATATGAGAAAATAATTATACAAGTCATTTTTTGGGAACATAGGCATTTATAAGGCCTCGTTCTGAGTGGTAAGTGTAAGTTTTACGCTAAGAAAACGCATAAGAATTTGTATGGAGATTTGTAGTTTTTGGTAGTTACCGCTAGGGGCGCTGTACCGGATTCCATACTTAAAAATCTTAACGCGCTCACGATCGACAGTGAACGTAAACGACAAAAAAACTTACACTCAGCGCTCTGGACGCCCGCAGTGGCGGTGACGGTGGCAATCGCGGCGCCAATTTCCCAACTCCTCGACGGCAGTGGTCAGATCACTCAGTTAAATTTATATATTAAAAATAATAAGAGTTTCCGAGTATGATATATTTATATTTCATTACTTGTTTATTAATTATACTGATTTAAACATTGATGACATTTTAAAATTACCTAAAACTACCTATAGTAGATAAACAATATAATAAGTCGCGCATTCGCCGCTCTATTGGCGCGCGACTCTCGTTACCCGCTGCCCGCACCGCCGCCGTCCAGAATGGTTCACACAAACTATACAAGCGTTTCTGACTAAGGGTAGTTTCACAAGTATCACATGTCGCCTACGTGTAGCATTTTAGACGCAAACAAAATGTTTCTCCAGCTATCCTAGCATGATGAACTCGAGAAACTTGAAAAGCCCTCAACAATCTCTAGAAACGAGTCGAGAATGAGATATGCCTTTACAATATCTCACTATTCTCGAGTCTCTCGCGTTGTTCATGCTACGTGGGTAGTTCGTTAGGCTACGCGTACATGACTGAAAAGGGCTTCGAAAAATGTATCTACCCTCAATATTTTTTAACACCTTGTCAATTTACTTATCCGAATCAATGACTGACAACGATAAAAACATGTATTATCTTTATCATAACTTATTCATTATATTCAAAACAAAGCTAATTACAAATAAAACTAATAACGATTAATTCAGGAGGTTATTTAGTTAATTAGTTTTAGTCGCATTTCCGAAGACGTAATTATCCGGTGGTATTTTAACTAATAGCAACTTTGATATCATAGTTCGGGAACATGTCACCTTAGAAGTTTTGGCCTAATTAAAATTAACCTGTCTTATGATATCAGATATTGATTCGAAAAACTTGTTTGACTTAATACAAAAAATATTCTAACCCTTTTGTTCCATTATAAAATCTTTGTATTACTTATAGATAGATAGCAATCGTCGACTATATGTCGCAAAGTAGCATTTTTAAGGCGGGCCCGCCGCGCTTATTAATATTTGAAGCCATCTTTAATATTTTAATAGATAGCATAATTATGAGTTAACTTACTTATGATTTAAGAGAGCATCCATTAATTTAAATTCTAACAACTGATGATTCGCAATAATTATCATGTAGATAAGTAGGTAGGTACACGTATAACAATAAGGTCACATTGGGCAGTCTAAACAGAACTTTTAAATATTAACAAAACTCTATATTCGCTATTCGTAGACATATTATATCACCTGCCTAAAGAAAATACTACAGTTGAACATAGTCGTTCACATACTGTATGTTCATTTTTAATTTTTAATAGCAATTTCTAATACAGGGCAGTATTATTTATTCAAACTTAAAATTATCATTGTATCATGTGAGAGAACACTAACTCTAGAGAGCCGTTTTGAAACCTAAAAAAAGGAAAATTAATTTTGAACTGTATTCAAGAAGGCAAGTAGGCAAAAACAGCAAAATGAGTACAAAACAACAGATTTCCATAGAATATTACTAACATATTTTAGATACAGGATTAATTGGTGATTTCATCCCTTTATAAGGTTAGGTTGAATGAACTTTCCGATAATATAAAATCAACCTACCTTCATTCTCTATTTCACATTTTAATATTGAGCTCGACCTTCGGTACTTCTAACTTTATAGTGTTCTACTGACAATAGCAATTATTACATTTTCATAATAATTTACACTACTTTCTTTCTGTTCCATGATAATAATAATATTTACAATAAAATTTATTAATTGCTTACCTAAATAAATACATCGTTTACGATTCAAAGATTTTTTTTGTATGAAATAAAATATTTTAACTTTCAAACCACTTAAACGAGAAAACTGGCAGTGTACAAAAAATAAAATCTGGTACAAGTTGTAATAAAATCTTATCAGTAAATCTACATTAATAACTTGAATGTTCTGAGAATAAAAATCGTTAAATAAAAACAATACACATAAATCTTAAAATATATATACAATTTTTTTTACATGCCAGATAAGTTATAAACTGCTAGTTGAATAATTTATAATCTATATTTCTGTTTTGAGTACATTTATTTTAATATATTTTTACATTTTTTTGAAAGTTCCAAAACCTTTAGGTATATAATAAAATAAATGTTGTCAAATGGCTATAATTTTTTCATAATTTTAAAACTACCAACATTTGTCTGGTTATTACCATGCGTATATAAAGATTATGAAATGTCTACAATATGTAAAAACATTAATTAAGTTTATAGCGCGGCAAATTAAAATATAAATTGTTCTATTACACTAAAGCTGAATTTACATTATAAATGAAACTAGTTTCATTGCGTCAATTTCCTTGCAGTTGCAATTTTAAACGTCCACTTAGTTGCAGGATACTAAAATAGGTTGATGCAATACGTTCGTTTTTAAAGAAACTAATGTCGCGACAACATCTGCGAATATTAAATCTTTAATGTAACGGAACTAGTGTAATAATGATGATGTCTGGATAAAAAAATAATCTAATTAGTCCGTCAGTCAGATTAGATACGTGTTTTTTTTTTACTTCAATTTAACAAGAAATAACTTAGATAACGGCATTAAGTTGAGGAGTGAGGGAAAACGTACAGAAGCGTGACTACATGTGACAAGTTAACTCAATGTATTGCGGTAATTTAAAGTAGTTTAGTACAGAAGTAGTTTCACATGCACCGAAACTAGTTTCGTGAAACTTGTTTATAGTTTCATGCAACTACTTTCGTAATGTAAATTCGGCTTTATAGTTAACTTATAAATTATTGAAACATATATTTTTTAAATACTGTAAGAACGAATTGAATCTTAAAACATTTTAGCTAGCACTTCGATCAACCATCGTGCGTGATATGAGAATTATTTTATATTTTGGTCGAATAGTATATCAATTGCATAATTACATATGTGCATAATAATATACGAATGTTATTAAGCTCGTCCAATAAACACCTTATCTAACTATTATATTTAAGCGTAAAATTTAATATTTTTAAATAATAAATCAATTCGACATTTTCTCTAAAGATTCAACATAGGTACAAGAGCAAAGCTTTTGAAGGAATCGTAACACGTGAGCCGATACCACGTTATAGCATTCAGGTTTGGTTTGCCATTTGACACAGAGGTAGTAGACCGGTATGCCGGACAGGAGGATGCCGAGTCCTATAGCGGTATCTGTGGGTTGCGTGATCGCAGGAATGATGACGAGACACGCGATTGCTATTAGGAACAAATAAGGTATGACTATGTTGACCTTGATCGGTCGCGGTATGTCGGGTTTCTTACGTCGTAGCCATAGCATACCCACTACTGAAGCGCCCACAGACAGCCACAGCGTTTGTGAGAAGTAGTTGATTAATGCGAACACGTTACTCGTAGTCAACATAAGAAGAGAGAAGAAACACTGAAACATAAAGGTTTTAATCAGATTTCATTCCCGCAAGCCCTGATTAAAATAGTAAAAATGCCAGAATATTAGATGGATAATCTTAAGCTAATATATTAGAAAAAAAATCTTTATAATATTACTGGCTTCGCCCGCGTGGTCTCTAGAACTTTTTAGTGGCATAAAATCCTATATGTTAATTCAGGCTTAGAATTATTGATATACAAAAAAATATCAAATTCCATTCAGTAGTTTTTGCGGAACATACATCCTTAGATATATTCGCATTTATAATATTGGTAGGATAATTAAATATTATAGAGTGCTTTGTAGTGTCAGTTTTATTGACTTTTACGTTCACCGTCGTGAAAACAGAACACAGAAAAGAGGTCTTTCTATGTTCTGTGGTCGTGAACGTGAAGGCGTTAAGATTTAAGTATGGAATCCGATACAGCGGTTACTACCAAGAAATACAATCTGCATACAAATTCAAAAAGTTAAAGTAACTCTGTAATTATTGATTGCACATATACCAACAATCAAGAGATATATTACTGTGGCTAACTCTTTAATTTCTATTTCATCTGCACTGTATAAAAAATTTTCTGAAGCAAAACGATTGGCCTCCTTTTTAAAGAGTACACTTACCGTGAAAATAAGTGAAGGTATCGGAGTCTGTTTGTTGATGTGAAAGAGAGAAAAGAAAGCTGGCATGTGTCCCTCTTGCGCACCAGTGGCAAATAAGCGAGCTGACGTGAACAGTACACCATTCACTCCACCGAACGTTGAAAGCGCCACGAACACTGGGATCACCCATCTCCAACCACCGAATAGCCGATCACCAAATACCTAAAGCATATCATCATCATCATCACCAGCCCTTTTACGTCCCCATTTCAGGGGCTTAGGCCTTCCTTATGAATGGTTAAGGAGAATGGGCCATGACCCTCCACGCTGGCCCAATGCGGATTGGTATTAACGACTGCAAATGCAGCCGGAACCAACAGGCTAACGTGCCTTCCGAAGCACGGAGTAGCTCGAGATAATAATTTTTTGGTCACCCATCCCGTGACCGACCCTTGTGAAAGTTGCTTAACGACTACTATCGAGCTTCACGGCGCTTATCCACTACGCTACCGATCTACTAAGCTTAAACATATAAAGAGATTTTAAAGAACTTGTTTGAATTTTGTAAGGTGTCGTCATCATCACCCACTTATTAATGTCCCGAGTGCTGGGATTTAAACCCTACGGAAGGTTTAATCCGAATAAGGAATGGGCTAACCTAACCTAACTTACCACGTGGACTCATTGCTGATTAACGACTGCTTTCCGAAGCACATAGGAGCTCAAGAAAGTAAAGTTTTAGTTACCTATTCTATGAAAAAAATGATCAACAGGCGTACCACGGATCAAGTGTTCTAACCCCTGTGCCATCCCGGAATGCGAAATGTAACTCTTTCTTCTTATCAGTTATCTTTACGCATATAAATATGTCGATAAATCCGATTCCTAGAATCACTTGTACAATGACCTTTTATAATAATAATTACGTAATTATTATATGTTCTTCATTAATGGCGCAGATAAAATATTATAATACTGGTAATAGTTACTGGGCGAGTGCTCGTAACTAGGAGGTTACTTCGAGATATTATTCACGATACGTCAGCAATCTTAATTACATAAAGTCTTCTGTAAAAAACGAAGAAATAAGAGGAGCGTAAAGTCAAAAGTAACATGCCTGACTATGTTTTTGCGTCCCGCAATGAGATAGATAGGAACAGAGGTTGGCAAAGTGCTGCATAGTTCTCACGACTACGAAGTGACTTAGATTTTTATATTTTTTCTATAAAAAGTATCTAATTACAACAAGAAATGAAAAAAAAAAGTGGATTGTAACAATAACTTTGTGGTTAGGTATTCTCTATCAAAATATATTATAAATTCAAGTTTTCGCTGTAATGGAACCAAACCAAGTAAAGTTAGTGGTTTTCGGCAAAGTGGTTGTCCTCTTAAATACCATTCGATATCGTATTATACATTCCAGAGTAGCACTCCCAAATTAAAACTTATCTCTATAATATTTTGATAACACATGGCTGACTACAGTGACTTATAATGCCTAGCAATATCATGCTAGACAAAGCAACTTACTTTTCTATTTTATTGGTCTATAATTTACCAACAGTTTTAGTTAAAATTCAAATAATATAGAATTAATGTGATAAAAACAAAAATATTCCAAAAACGTAGAGTTATTCCCATAGTTAACTAATAGTAATTAATCACATCTGAGTAGGTAGTGATTGGACTCCATTCTGAATTAACTTTAAACATAATACAATCGACACGATAAATTTGTAATATAAAAGTACTAGTGTTAAGTGTGTAAAATACTAGTGTTATATAAGGAGAACTACTCAAACTACAAAATCATTTTTTCAACTACTCTACTTACAGCCAGTTACACATACGTCCATTGAATTTTTCATTAGTTTACTCATATAAATTACTCATACAAATCGCTCGCTACGTCACAGTTTTGTAAAAAATGTACCATAACGTGACGTCATGTGACTTTTAACTCAATGTATCGAAGTAATTTAATGATTACAAAAAAATTAAAAATATCGTTATTAATATTTTTCAACAATCTACCTGACGGGCAAACAAGCAAAAATAAGTCGCCATCTCAATTACTATAAATATTTAATAAATACTTGAAGGGTCATGATACTTAATAAAAGACGGAGTGTATACTATCGGTGCTGTATTTTAAGTAAATCGCGACGTTATTCGATTGTGCGGTCGTCTCACAGACAAGAAGTCAAAGAGCTAAGTGGGCTGTGATGACGTCGAATGTCGTTCGTAAGGCATCCGCGGGTGCCGACGTCGCCATCGTGCCCGTTGGAGCGGGAAGCCAAACGCGCCACTCGCGCCACTCGCGCGCCAAAATTCTCATATTTTGATAGTTTCAGATAATCGAAAGCCGAGGTAAAAATTATTATAATTCTACTAACAAAACACCTATAATCACATAATACATTGTGTTAAATAGATGTTTCTTACCACAGCAACAGCAGGATTGGACATCATCTCGCTTTTGGAGACCACAGCGAAGTACGCCATGTTAGCCATCACGTATATTATCGTCACCATCGGCATCGCGATCCATATCGCACGAGGCAAGTTCCTGAAAGCAAACGCCAGGTAATAACTTTTATATTAAATAATCATTATTTTCCAAATTTTTATTTTCCAGTATTTTTCGAGTAAGCTGTCACATAGTTTTATTTACTTCGTACCAAAAACTACACTAAATAAGTCAACTACCACATATTTTTGTATACGCCGAACTTTTTAACTTTTGAACTACTAAATTTAAAAGTTATAAAACCAGTATATCTTTCATTCCTTTTTCAGCAACTTTTGATATATATCAGTACACGTAGCTGGCTGGCTACCTCGTTAGATCCATGCTTGACCAAAGTTTCATCTTTCATACAAGAAAATCCGCATTTAGTGTTTGTATAATTGAAGACTGAGCTTAAAATTGAAAGAGCTTATTTGAACATGAGGAGTAGTGAGCGCATAGGATTGTTTAAAAATCGACTCTTGCTGCTGATATCTACTGGAAACGGAAATTAACTGAAACTACTGGACCGATTTAAAAAATCTTTCACATACAGGAAGCTACATCATATGCGAGTGACAGAAATTATAATTTACGCAGTTTGACGTTTTAGTGATTGTATGTACATACGTACATTAACACGTACATATATAGTATAATACCTATCCTTCAACAGTATAATGAATTATTTACGTATTGTTATACAGGCACAACCTTCTAACTTTAACCTTCAACTTCAGAGAGAGAGTGTGCATAACCTAATACCTACACTTGTAAGTTATTTTATATAACAAGGTTACGAAGTTATGTTCGAAACTATACCACCTGGCATAGCTGTTTTTCTATGAAAATGTATGGTTTTACTATCTGTTTCTCTCATTTTTACCATATTTACTGTCCGTAAGTTCCTCGACCTTTACTATCTATTTCTATCTAATTTTTCCATATTTACTGTCCGTAAGTTCTTTAATGAGTATTTCATTACTAAACAATTGGCCAACCATTTTCGAATTCGGCACTTGCAAAAGCACAAAAAAAAAACGCCTTTTCGACAACGAAATGTACCTATACTTAAGTCCTATTGAAAATCACCTGTTGATTTTCTACAAATTAATCAAACGCATCACGATAATTGTCATTGGGCTATGTGAGGCTTTTCCTCGAGGACCCGTCCTCAAAAGGGGGGCTAGTCAAAGTGCAGGTATATACGCACTAAAAACTATTAATGTCCCTCTCCATTTAAAGCGCGATGTGCGTCTGTGCGCATAATGCCCGCGGTGTATCGTTCTTCCTATATTTACAATATTTTTTTTTCTATGTAATTTGTACTGAGTTCAAATGCCACCAATAAAATGATAACCGTAATCTCTGAAAGTATAAGCCGGACATGCAATTACGTATTAATTTCATCGTATCGTACCTGGTATCACTGACCACGTACAATCATATAATAAGGTCACGGTCTCGTCGAATATTCATGATAAGATTTCACTAAATAAAATAGCTGAATTCATTACGCACAAACGTTTGACGCTGGCAACGCGCCAATTGTGATAAAAACTACGGATCATTAAATTCTCACTTTATCACATCGTGGGTCTGTAGGTTACGAGTTACGATGACCTATTCTAAGGGTATTGCTATACTTGTTCCAACCGACCATCTTTATGTAGGAAAGGTGGTTATGAATAAAAGATGCAATAGAGTGAGTGGCGATTGCTCTTGGAAGTTACTGGAGAAAAATTACTGAATAATATGAATTTATAAGCTCTGGATACCTACTTAATAATCAAACTAGAAAATAGTGCATAAAAATAAAAATATGAATAATAACATTTTTTTTAATTATAATAATGTAACAAAATCATTGCAAATTTCTAATGTTTCTCCTGACAATAAATATCTATTCTGTTTGATATTTTTAGTAAATAAAGTAATGTCAGATATAATTATAAATTACCCTTCCTCAAAATATACAAATAGTTATTCATGGATAAATCAGTCACTCTCTTGATAGATTATAAATTAAGCTAACAGTGCACTTACGTAGCAGATACAGACAGAAGACGGTTATGTTTCTTTTTATTTGTAAACAAAATAATAAAACAACAATCGTAAGAGAAATTATATTTCGAAATCCAAAACAGAACAAAACATGTACCTATTCAATTATCAACAGCAACTTTTTTTTTAATTTGAGTAAAACCAAACTACCAAATAATGACAATAAAATAAGCTGATTTCCAATCTTACGAAGCGCTTCAATCAAACAGTCTATTTGCTAAGTGGGTCTATTTGAATTGCTCTCAAGGGAGCTTTACAGAAAGAGGAAAAAAATCAAGAACGTCTCTAAAGACAGGGATTCTATTCCAAGTTAAAAGCTTGGTAAAAGGAACAAACAAACTTTCTATAGTTGGTATCCTACCCTTTTATGCAAAAACTAAAAAAAAACGATTTTGATGCAAATTGGTATACGGATAACTCTAAGCCTAATTAACATATAGGCTACATTTTGTCCCACCAAACGATTCCCTAAGGATAAATGTACTTTTATTAAGTCATCGTGTATGCCACGCAGGCATAACCGCTCACGGAAAACTAGTAAATAATATGGGAAATATAAAATAAACGAAAATAGAATTAATGTATTTTAAGTTTGGTGCACACTCATACAATTAATATACTACAACCTACTTCTAAAACGAAAAAGTCAAATAAAGACATTATATAACAAAGATATAAAAAATATATCGAAGAATATAATGTCGCCAATTGTGAAAGGTAGCTAGTATAAGATGGCTACGTGCTTACTACCAATGAAGCCTATTAGAGCGATCAGTCTAAAGATTTGATTCATAAGGCCCTTATATTTGCTTCATGTGCAAATCATTTTCTTTGTCTTGTTTTTACTTATATATTGATATATCTTTTTCTAAAAGAGATTAATTAAAGGAAGCAGAAAATTAAGTGTGTGTTTAAAGAAGTGACTACTTCAACCTCAAGCTCTTGTTAATCAATCTTGTTACTATTGATTCCTTTTGACTCGCGGAAATTAGTATTCTTATCATTATACATATAAATCACAGATAAGATAAAGTAAACATGTTGTAATTCGTATGATTATTTCATAAATCGAGTAAATTTGATTCTTTTAGCGATAATGTTTTTCTTTAGCTACCAATATTTTTCTTGATTTTGTTTATTTCAACGTATTTCACCTTGTTATTCATTTCTTATTAATGCCTAATTAAAAATGTATACCGAGTTAAATATATGGGAAGAAACACTATTGACTAGTATTGCTACTATTTAGTGAGATCGAATCAGAAACGATGATATTCCCACACGAACCAATATTACCGACTTAGTTCAAATGTCAGAAGGCAACGCATCTAGTTCGTTGCACTGCAGGGGGTGTGTGGGACTCTCCATTTATACAGTCAAAACAAGGATGGTATACCCAATGCCTACGCATAAACTTCCTCTGTGCACTCTCACATTTGGGGAAAGAGCCGGATGAAACTGGGGGTGCTCCACACTCAACCCAAATCAGGCCAAAAGCCATCCTCAAAAATTTCAGTAAGATCCTCGGGGGGTGACCACGGTCCGAAATATGGAGCCTAGACAGGCCTCCCTCGAGATACAGCCTACAATCACTGATAACAAGTCAGATAAGGAGTCTTTAGACATCGCTACATGCAGGCGTAGACTAAAGTCAAGTATACCTTCGCATCATTGGGCATTACAGTACTATAATTATAAACAACGCGAACCACAGGACAAAACTAAAAGCTGCAGAATACTTTTAACTAAGCTTGAGGTGCGGGTTCTCAAGATATCGTGATAATAGACTGCCGACACGGTCTTGTATCCGCGATTACTAATCATTTATAATTTTATTCAACCCATGAAAATCTCTAGGCGTATTAAGTCGTCAGTGAGTAAAGCCCCTTATTCAGTCAATAATAAACAATGTAGAGTAGAATGACTTATTGTTAGAACTTTATCTAGCAGTAGCTGTTTTGCTGCGACTTCGCCCACATAAGTTATTTATTAGTTCAAAGAATTTTTAAAGTCAGTCCAGTATTCTGAGCCTATAGTATACAATTAAATCTTTCCTTTTTACAATATAAGTAGGTATAGATTAGAGAAGTAGCAATGTATTGGTAGTAAACTCTTCTTATATTACAGTTTTAAAACACATTGCACCTTATTACAAATACATTTTTTAACAATAGATCTAAGGGATAGGTCTATTTCTTTGCACGTTGTCATAAAATGTCAGAATAAAAAGTTACTTACTTACAGTACTCTAATTGTGGGATTAGCAGTAGCTCAATGAAATCCTCGTGTAATTCTTTAACCTCTCGATTTTATTTGCAAATAATATACATGGAATTACTTATAAGTAAATTCTAAGATACTGACTTTATGCCAGTCTCGATCAGAAAAAAGAATTATCAACTAGCATAACACGACCGCGCGAATTCAAACACAGAAAGAGTAATAATTCAAAATATTAGCGGCCAGTATTGACCATAAATAGTCCGGAGAGTAAACCTACCTATAGTAATGTGCACGGACGTTACAGTACTGTATAAAAATGTGTAAAAATGCTCAGATAAGATGTCTCGATAAGTTCTACGATAAATTTTATAACATAATTTCTTGGTTAATTTCTGTAACTTACTTGTAAGGATCCTGGAGCTCCTCTGTGACGAAGTTCAAGTAGTTCCATCCTCCGAAGGCAAACAAACCAGAATAGAATGCTAACGCCACCTTGCCTGCGCTGTATTCTCCTTCAAATGGTCTATCAAAGTTCTCGGTATGACCTGATAAAGCGTAAAAAAAGCAGTATTTTAGAATTGAAGCTTTAGCGGCTTATCACATTGGTATAAATAAATAGAAAACTTTAAAAATAACTTAAGATTTAATAAGATATAATGGACCAACCATATAACCAACCACAGGTCTAGTGCGAATTGGTGGGTGTTTACGATTGAGATGCAGTACGAAAAAATACATTTTTGGTCACCATCCCATGAACGGGCGTTGTAGAAGTTTCTCTTGTAGAACTTCCACGCCACCACGCCATCGCCATCGAGCCTATACTATTGTGTACAGTCAACAGAACGTCAGGTCATACAGAACTGTCGAATTTCTCCACTTGATTTCGAGCCTTGATATATTGTGGAAAGACTTCAAAATCAATTAATTATAATATTAAATAATAAATAAAAATAAACGTTGTTCGTTGACAATTTCATCATTTGAATAAAACGCGATTTGGCATTTTTTTGTTCGTAAATCAAAATCAAGTTTTAAGGGAATCACAATCGGCAACTACTTGACATCTATTTTAGTAATTGGCTATAGTTAAGAGCGATATGAAATAGTTAACCTAATGACTTTTGTCAACACAATTACTGTGATGTAACTATCCAACTACTGGTAAACAGCACCATATTAACTAAAGAAGCATTTAAATTAATTGAAAAATCACGTAGTTTTATTAGTTTTAGGTATGGGTATTATATATAAAATTAAAAAAAATGTTTGTTAAACTTTTTTACATTGACCATATTTTCTGTGCTATGAACAAACCCTTACTTTTGTGTTTTTAATAAAAAAAAAAATAATAACTAAACGACTAGATTACCGTTTTCGAACTAAACTTTACAAAAAGGAATTTCTGATAGAAAATTTAGCGAAAAACATAAACCCGTTATATTTTATCAATCATGTAGTTAATTATAGATATAATTAGAACACAAACGTAAGATAGTAAACTAACTTTGTGAAGAAACCTCTTTGTATTTATAATAACTTATCTTGTAATAAATCATAAATATGTACCACCAACAATGTCTACTTGACATTTCCATTTAAATGAATATCAAAGTACCCATAAACAAAGATTTTATTGACCAAGTCGTCGAGTATGAATGAATGTTTTATTAGAGCTCGCCACAAATAACTTATTTAATACAACATACTTATTATTTATTGCTTATTTACTATGATATTCAAACCTACTCACATAACATGTAATGTGTGTGTATTTTGGCAAGAAATAAATCGTTATCTATCTATCATGGAATGCAAACATTGTTTATTAGTTTTTTATCAATGATTTTCAATTCTTTTATAGCTCTTATTTTCTTCTTCATAAATATTAACAGAAAATTATTTTTAATTATTAAGGCTATCCCCATAGACGGAATCCCGCGAAGAATGCATAACAAGCTGATCTTGATTCTGGCTAATTCATAGAAGAGGCAATTACGAAGAAAACAAAAGTTAGTTCTTGTTTTATAATAAGTTCACAACAAGGTTTAACGTCTTCTGAGAATATTCCGTGCCATCCACGGAGTATTCTCAAAAGCAAGAAACATGAGTACGGTGGTAAATGGCAACAAATCTCGCTACTACCACCTAGTTGCGAAATTTGTTACGGTTCTCCCAGTGCATTGGTTGGATATCGGATGGACGGGCGGTATACAGATTTCTTGCAGATTAATAACTTCCATACCCAGTGAGTAGGGTGTGAAAAAAGCTTTTCGCAATCACATAGTTATTGCAATGGATTTCGGCATGGTGATGCCTGATTTTATTAAATACTAGCACGTTAAAATTAACATCACTCTTCTTTTCAATCAAGTTTTATTTTTTAAAGTAAAAAACAAGCTAGGTTGGTGGTTCTGAGTTGTTAAATTAGTTATATTCAATCAATCTCTAATTAATAACCTATTAATATTGGGGCCACCAGATAGCATATAAATAAGACTATACAATAAACATTTGCTTTACCTATACAAAGATAATAGATGCCAGATATTATGATGACCACCAGGGCGAGCAGCTTCGAGGAAGTGAAGACATCTTGAATGCGCATAGTCCAACGCACACTGATGCAGTTGACTGCCGTAAGTACACCTACAGAAAAAAAACATAAACAATTGTAAACTATATATTTTGATAAAAGATCACTTTGATATTTGAAATAATGGATACATTGTTCACATACATTGCTCATGTACCGAAATAAGTAGCTTAAACAAAAAAGATAGCAGGCCCGATAAACTTCGCTTAGTCTATCCCCTGCCCCTAACTAGCAGAGGAGCGATGAGGGTGAACGCTGGGAGTGTTCAAATGGGCATACTTTATATGTATCTCTGACTGAGCTCTAGGCTGTCCTCGCCACCTACCATAGACATTGGAGGATTTTGGTGGGAATGCCTCTGCTTTTTGTCGGCCTCTACTAGGGGATAAGTTCTCGAGAGAAAATACCTTATTACTTCATCAATCCGCAATGAGGAGGCGAGGTGTACGTGAGGTGATCATTATTTCATTGGATCTAGACGGTACATCGTTTTTAAGACAGAGGGGAGGGTATTTTGCAAGCCCGAATTCTTATAACTTAGACCAGACATTTGTTTTTCGGTTTGACTGAGGTTAAATTTCCAATAACTAGTTTTACTTTCACGTAAATAGCTGATGTGCGTGTCCAAAAAAAAGTTGGCATTTGCAGAGCGACCGCCTGACCATAGGATACGACATGTTATCGATGATAAGGCGATGATTCGTTTCATTTTACTACTTTGACATGTACTTTTGTAACGACGAACGAACGATAAAGGATGATAATTATGGATTTGATAGTAGTGTCACCACTTAGTAAATTATCCCGAATTTATTCACCAAAAGACATGTCAAAGTAGTAACATGAAACGAAATATCGTCATGACATCGTTAGCTATCGTTAGAGTTACCGCATCCCTGATTGGTGATGCTATTCATCTTATCTTATTTAGTAGTATCATAATAAATAACGTGACTACAACGCTTGGGAAGTATGCCGTCGACAAGACACCAATTATATATAATTATTTTTTGTCTAATGTCTGTCACTGAATATTAAAAACTACTAAGTTCTTTTTTTAAATTTTAAACTGTCAACAAAGTCTTTAATCTTCAAATCACGTAACTTAAATAGATATCTTTAATTTTGAACACACTTAAAAAAGGTCCTCCATTTTTTGTCAAATCAACAACTTTGTGTGTGTAACGACAATCTTTCTATGTAACGGTAAGATTTTTGTTTTTATCCGAAAGCTGGTGCTTAACCTTGATCCTATTTAAAACTGACCTAGGGCAGCTCAGTAATTTTGTTTTATAATATCATAATAACTGAAAAAAAACTCGTATATAGATAAGCACTCGTATTTCACGCATACATATCTCGATGATTTTCATAAGTTTATATATGCTAATATTTGTTTGCAGTGAATAAGACTCCAAAACTAATGGACCATTTTAAAAATTGTTTCACCTATGGGAAACTATACTATTTGTGGTGACATAGGTTATACGTAATTTAAACGGGTGAAGTTGAGTGAAAACGGCTAGTAACGTTATAATACCCAACCAGCAAGAACGGTATGTTATAATACCATGTCGCAAAAAAGTTATTACAAATGCCCACATATCAATTTGTTGCATATTTGAAACATTTTACAGGTAGGCAAGTATAAAAAATATTTCTATTTCTAGTGCACAATTAGCAATCATATTGTAAATAAACACATGTAAATAAGGTATAAAGTTGAATGTAGTTATCAAGTCTAGACAGATATAAACTTTATCTGATATAATGTAACATAAAACTATATACTTTTGTCAACAAATTATATTTCGGATAGAGATTAATTAGGACATTCTTTAAATCTAAATTAAAAAATCTTAAATCTATACTAATATTATAAAGAGTATAAAGAGGCTTAAAAATATAACCAAACACACAATGTTACTAACATACTAACATTGTGTGTATGTTTGTAATTTTCGGGAATACTGAGCCGACACGAATTTTTTTCACGTAATTATGTGTGTATAAAAACTTATTCTATAACTTTTCCAAGCAAAGTCGCCGGTAAAAAACAAACCGCCTATTCTATAATTTAGTATTTAGAATATATATTATAGTTAGTATTTAGAGCTTTGGCAATGCAATATTCATATATATATATATATGAATATTGCATTTTTTCCTGTTATAAAGTGACTAACCTGCAATGTGCCTCGCCGCACAATCAAAGTAAATTGTATTAAAAGAGCGGAAATAAACACTACAAATACACACACAAAAGTGTTAGATAATTATTTAAAGATGTATGAATTGGATATTTCATTACTTTATCAGTCTCTACAATAATGTCTCTATTATTGAGGAACAGGCTTTGAATATGAATTAAATAGAGCGGGCCATAACCTTCCCCGCCAGCCCCGAGCGAGAAGGCGTGTAGAAACTTCTGCCGATGCAGCCAGGACCAAAACGGTTTTCGAAGCATGAAAAATTCCAAAATATTTTTTGGTTACCGGATTTAGACAATATTTATTATATACTTAATTAATATTGCGCAAGTCCGGTCGTCAGATGCGTTTTCAAAAATGTATAATGTTGAGATCCTCCATGATTCAGAAGGAACGTAAAAACGATTAGGTTTAGATAATATGTACTATATCCACTATATCTTTTGCCTTGGCCAATATTTCTTAATATTTTTTCTCATTATGTCTAGCGTTGCAGCCGAAACTCAATGATCATTATAATATCCAGCTCTCTAGAGTATTATATGTGTATCTTTTTATTCACGATTCTAGAAGTAGTCGGCTAAGTAAGCGGTGTCGGATAACTTCTTGATTACATTGCGTCTGTTTCTCAACGGACGTTTCCACTTAACCTAATTACCCTGACAGCGGAACCCTCTCTATTTGCAGACAAAACAGGGTCTACTTCAGACACCCGCACTAATTCATCCGACTCTTATTCGTTTAGTCAGAATTCAAACAATATTTAGTATTTAATAAGTGTTTCAAACAAACTTCGAAATTATAGCTAATTATAGCCTATGTCGACCTTGTATGATGTAGCCTTCCGTAGGTGAAAGAATTTTTACAATAGGTCCAGAAGTTTCGGAACTTGTTCGATGCAAACAAATACTGACTGACAGATAACGTACAGCCTAAACCACCGGCTGTAGAGACTTGGGGAAGATACACTCCTCTTATTACGTAGAGGTGTACTAAGAACGGATTCTTGGCAATTCCACCATTAAAGGGGGTCATAAAGGGGGTCATAACCTATATCGATGAAAATTGGTATATGAATAGTTTAAGACCCTGGGAAGTTTATATTTTATCCCGAAAACCAGCATTTTGAGGGATGAAAATGGGAATGAAAGTTTGTTATGGGGAATGAAAATGTTACTACTTATCATTGTAATAAATCCATCTAATATTATTTACAAATATTTTATTAGATAGCGATGAAAATTGGTAATGTTCATAACAAAACACAATATTTTTAAATTTCAATCTATAAAATGTTTAAGCGCAAATCATGTTATTTCCGACAGAAAAATTCTGTTTGTATATTTTGAAACTACATTGGGATGAAAATTTTAAAGTTTTAAATTATACGAAATAATAACATTAAGCTTTGCTGTACTAGATGGCGTAAAGTGTACTCAAACAGCGCTATCGTTTGGTTGAAAGATTTTTTTGTAGATTTCAGTTTGCAATTAAGTTTTGTGTAAACTTCAAATTTGTCATCAGATCTGTCCATCTGTATTTCAAATTGTGTGTGTTGGCTACTGATCAACGGTTAGCCGTGCAAATTAATGATACTTTTCAATTATATGGCTAGCCGCCCAATTGGACGAATATACCAGTTGGCTACGACAGTATTACTAGTACAGACTAGTATAACTATATATTATATACATAATACAAGCAAAATTAGAATTAATTATAAAATATGTGAAAGTCGTTAATAGGCTATTGTTGATGTCATTACGGTCCGGAAAAGTCATACCAAACATAGGACCACAATTTTTTTATTATTTTGTATTAGTCATAATTGCGTAATTGCTTAGGTATGGTGAATTGAGTATGGTAAGACAAACAGAACGAAAGCACTCAATTCATATTCAGGCTTGTAAATATTCATTAATATATTAACTCTGATAAATACACAAGCATATATACTCTCGGTCATCGTTTAGGTCTGGTTCACGGCTATAATGGGATATTCGTCCATATCTCCATGCCTAATTAACTCTGCGAAACATCATACAGTTCTAAGGGACTTAATGACTTTAGTTGTGCGAATCTCATTTATAATCCCAGTCATTAGAAAATGATTTGCTTGTTTATTAAAACTACTGACCGATATATAGCATTAATAAATTTAGAAGACATTAATGCAAAACAAATGACGGTCAACACAAAGTTTCACATCGGTCATATTGACTTACAACTACACAGATAAATTTTCCTTGAATCCATTTTAAATTAATTGACCACGAATTTATCATATAAAGGGAGCTATTAATAATATAATTTACAGATTATGCGTATTACATTTTTCAAACTTCAAATTAATATCGTAGTTTCATATGAATTATATACACATGTATATATGAATTAATTTGTCTGCGGATTATACTTGGCTTATACGACATTATTATACTCTTCTGTACGTACTGTTACTAAAATTTAGTATATCCTAATATATTTTGAAAACTCTTCTTAAAAGCATGTAAAGCATATTTGTTTAGATTTTTTCATTCATAGAAATAAACTCTAAAGACATGGCCAAAGATAAATTAACATTATAAACATTTTGGCTTTTTCAGCTGCCTATCTCAGGAAATGATCGGTCACATCACGAAGTAATCAAGTCTATGACACCTACAGAGCGTCTTTCTTTCACAATCGCATAATAGGAAGTGGATGATTGTCTAACAAACAACATTCTCGACAAAACAAACTTGTTAGTCTTATATTCCCATGAGAGCAGCCAGCATTGGATTGCCAATTGTACTTTATTATGATGATTAGATATTATAAATTGAACGCCTCTGTGACATCGCCGAGTCAGAAGTCAATACGATGGGACATTCGAGAAATTAATATGATTGGTGTCGCACTAGAGATATTAGTACATTCCTATATTAACGAATGTTAATTTGCAAAATGTTCAGTAAGAAGTATTTTTAGGAATTTACACGTCATACATTATTATGAATATTCAAAATAGTCTATAAAGATGATATATTTTAAGTAATATCTGAATATCTCTCCTAAGTTTTCCTTCTTTTTCTTAAGTTGGAGTTGTTTCTGTACATTTGAATAGGTTCCAAAAAACTCTTTGATCATTAGGGGCCTATATAAAATTTAGAATAAATTTATCAGTATGATATTTTCAAAAATGTTAGGGTTCCTAATGAAAACGTCGATACCGGTGCGAATGCGGGGTATCGAGGCGGGCCCCGCTGTTAAATTAAGATTAATTTAAATAAAGTCTTTTTCTTGTTTTTTATTTTCAATAAACTCAATAGAAAATGTTATTAAATAATAATCCAATAACTATCTGTGGAAGCAAGTGACACTATTGCATGGAAAAATATAGAAAGTCTTATTCTAGAAACATCCACTGAAATTTATTATAATTAATGTGTTTTTTATACTTACAAAGACATACAGCAGCCAACAGTCTGACAGCATTTTGTGGAGGGTCACATTCAGGGAAGAAAGGTTTGACCACGTAGTGTCCAAAAGTGAGTGCCACTATAGCTTGTGTCGTTGGCCTGATAATTAGTAAAGCTATCCACAGTCTAAGGAACGCCGGCAATGGTCCAAACGCCGAGTATATGTACGCATAGTCACCTCCCGACCTGGTGATTGAAGTCCCCAATTCTGCGTAACACAACGCCCCAAGAGTGGACAGAAGACCACATACTAGCCATATTATTAGTGATGCGGCTACTGATCTGAAACAAGACGGTACGAAAATAAATTTTAATCGTCAATTCACTTGCAAGTTTCAAACTTTGTTAGTCCACACTAAAAGAATATTATTGTCCCCCGTGTTGAAGCATAGAATTTTCCACATAATAGAATCATGTTAAGACGCTGACATTTTTTTTTTCTTATGGACTCCTTCTACGGGGCAATAGTACAGATTACTTATTACAATTATGTGTTATTCTTATTTTACATTGGAAATTTAGTGTACTTTTTCCTATGTCTTTATTTACAGTCATAAGAACTATAATGATAACATTGCAACTTTTCGATCTGTAGAATCACTCCATTTTTCTCACTGTAAAATAAGAATAATAATTAATAGTAAGAAAAAATTTTATGTCGTTCAATTTTAGAGGTAACTATGTTATTTTTATTGAGGCAATTTTATTATGAATAAGTTTTGTGCAATTATGCTTCTCATTATTTTGATTTTATTAATTTTCTTTACAGCCATTTTAATATGGCTGAAATTTCACTTTAAGATAAATAGTAAATATTTGTTCACGCATCCGATGACCGGCCTTTACGAAAGTTAGTTTACAGAACAACTTTCGAGCTCTTTCTTAAACTTAAACATTCTTATTAAAATATCATAATCAGGGTCAACTTAAAATAGACCTCTCAATATTATTGTACTCATTATCGGACCGTTAATAGCATAGCAATAACTTATTGATTACATTTACAAATACATAGCAATTATACAAATTGAGTAAATATTTTTTTACTAATCATTTTAAGATATTATTTGGTATAGTTTCCATAAGCCAAAGGTTAAATTTAAAAATCGATACCTTAGCAATAAGTCAGTCTTGTGCATATATTTGTTATATGTGTTTGTTTTTAGCGCAAGAAAGTCTATTCATTCATTCATTTATTAACACCTTTATTGTCATTTCTGACGTCTAATATCTAAAATCGCTTACTGTTTAAATTACATTTGAAATAAATTACATTTATTATTATTTTTATTATTTATTCATTATTTAAGAAATAAAATAGTCATATTATTCCTGCATTTTTGTAGCGCACCGTCTCAACTAGTCTCAACAGTTTATCCAATTAGCTACTGCACCACATTATTACTGGGTTATAAGTAAATCAATAAAGTAATCAATTTTATGTCTCATACATAATTGATATGGTAAATAAAAACAAGTTTACAAATGTACTGGATGTTGCGGAATTAAAGAGTTCATCGAAGGAAACACGGTTTATGTTTATAACATTTTATTACGTATTACCAAAGGAACTGGATATAAAACGTGTATTATTATTAAAATAATCACATATCTATATTAGGTAATACAGTATTGTAGTTAAAACATTTTCTTTTTAAACACTTAAATTATGTGCCATATTAGCTATTTTTACAATTAATAATACTTGGCTCTCGAATAAAATTTGAGTATAAATCGTTATGTAGCAATTAAATGTATCTAAAAAACATCCTGCTGATGAGCCTGAATTGTAATGACTTTCATCATCACCACCAGTACGGTGACTTTCATTAAAATTTCTTTTAAAACATTTGTAACCAAAGAACACGGAAAACGTCTTTCTGTGTTGTGTGTTTGTAACTGATTTGATACCATTTCATATAATTTAAAATAATATAAATTGTAATCGTTGTCAATACTGTACTCTGTCACTCTGTAACTAATTACTTACATTATTTTGTCCTATCACATTCTAATGCTTTGGTTATATCAGTTTTTTGCCGAATTGATAACTCTGTTTGACACTTAGAAGATAAAAACTTAGTTTAGTCTAGTTTGTGCCGAAATTGACACTTCATCTAAAATGAAAAATGCTTAAAAATCCAACAGCCCTAAGTACCCCGCGATGGAATACAAACCAACAACCCGGGCAATCATTGCAATCCGGGCAAGTCTAACTATTGAACTACCCAAGACAACAAGAATATTACAAGCACATTTTCTTTTTCACTACTACTGAGCTTCTTTTCATCGATGTTCAGGCAATCTATCCAAACAGCCGAAACAAATATTTAAAACTTTCGATTAAGATGTATATAACATTTTAAATGTTACATATGTAGATATATTATGGAATATATCTATACCATATCTATTTGTGATAAGAATCATAATCCCGTAACCAATTTTAAGCATTGATAAACAAAAACTTTCACTATCCAATATTACGTCAGCACTTTCCCTTCATAGAAATGCTTTGAAGGGCGTTAATATTAAATAACTTACCTAATACAAAATATTTAAATGATTCGATGACAACAAACTAATACAATGTTATGGCGAGATTGAGTTGCTTTTGGATAAATTGTATTCTAGTGATACCTATGCTAAAAAAATAAGGTGGTGAATTAAATTTTAATAACAGGTTTAATAAAAAAGAGATTATATTATAATTTTTTTATGTTTATGTAGTTTTGAAATAGTATAAAACAAACTCGCTTCCCACTGACAATGCGCTAAGATCTTTTAAACTTAACAACGTACATACTTTAATGCGGTTTTCAATGCGTATTAATATACAGAGCAATTCAAAAGGAGGACTTACTATACAGGACCATGGGAGCCACGAAAGCTATAGATAAAACAAAATAAATAAACTACTGAACAGGTTTGGTTGGGTTTAATTTTACTTTTTCGCTACAAGTCAAAATGTAGTTTGTCTAAATGTTATGTTTTATATCGAGATATAATAGAGGCAACATCGTTTATACAGTCTAGGCTATTACAAACACTTGTGAACGTCGATAGGTATGCCATCGGTTCGCAATTCAACGGCAGGAGACCTTGCACTGCGAAGAACCGGCAAGTACCTCAGCAAGGGCTGCTTGTTTTTGTTTATACAAAGATGTCGAATTATAATAAAAAAGTAACTTCATTAGAATATGAAGTCAGTTTCCATTACATAAATGATTACAAAAAGAGAAAAAAAAATCGTTAATCAATTATATGCCGTGTCAGACAAATTCATTGATAATAAAACTGATATACAATATGCATAACAGAAAATTTTAATAGTATTAAGGACTGATTGACCTTCTATTTTGATTAGCCTTGTCCCTGTTGCCAAGTAACACGAGATCGTTCACTGACCGGCTTTACGTGAGAAAGGCAACTTTGAAAGTGCACATTAACACCGGTTTGAAAACAAGACTTTATATCATTTGTATACATACCGTAAGCCCCTACCCGGCTCTGGACATGTATTAAAAAAGCAGCCCTATACGGTTAAAATTTAAAAATAGAATGTAATATATTATGTTACATATTATTTTAAATTTTTACACGAACTGTCGTTACGTTTTAACAAACAAATTTTTATGACTCAGTAATGTTATAATCGGTATTTTACACTTTTTTATATATCGCAGCTAAGGAGCCTATTATAAATTCAAACTCACTCGGTGGCCGGTGCATCGTGTTTTGTAGTAATTTTGCAGTTATGTAATAGTTTTTATTGAAATAGGGCAATAAATTTATGCTTAAAAATATGAAATCTTTATAACTTGCGAAGTATTAATTATTCTGGTAAAGGTTCACTCAAAAATGTTAATTGGAAGTCTAGTAGCCATATATAACAAATATTACATAGATATGATGGAAGAAATTAGAATATATAAATTCTTGTATTACCTATATATTACAACGTAAGTAAGCATAGATGCCAACACGTACACATATTTGAGTGATTATTTAATCACGTATCTATAGGACGTGATCCTCGATATCTGCATATGACATGGGATAGTAGGGCTGGAAAAAAAATCAGCCAACCAGCTTAGAAAAGAAATTAATTATTCTGAGTATACACGCAGCCCAAACCACTGGACGGATCGGGCTGAAATTTGGCATGCAGGTAGTTATTATGACTTTGGCATTCCCTAAGAAAGGATTTTGATACATTTCACCCCTAAGGGGATAAAATAGAGGATGAAAGTTTATATGAAACTTTGTCAATTTTAAGCCGATCGGACTCCGCATGCATAAAGCTACTATGACGTAGACATCTCCTAAGAAAATATTTTGATAAATTCCATCACTGAAGGGATAAAATAGGGAATGAAACTTTATTTCAGGTATTTTACACGATATAATGAATAAATATTCGTTCGAAATGCTGCTCAAAGTAACTTTACCACGCGGACGAAGTCGCGGGCAAAAGCCAGTAAATATATATGACATTGATTTGTAAGGAAGATATTGCACTAATAATATTGGACTTTAAGTATAATGGCACAATGCGAGTAGTTGAGATGCGATTATTTCGAAAAAATTGAGATTTACGTAGAATTGAGACCCCAGTTGTATTAAAAAAACCGTCCAAGAACAAGTCAGACTCGCGCTCTGTTCACTTTTAGTGATATCTTTATAATAATTAATAAAATTAAAACTTTTTCGCCTTTTACATTTCAACCCTTAGTTTACAGATTTTTCCTTAAACTGGTACTACAAATACGATGCTACTTCCTAAATTTCATAGTTCTATATTGATTCTCCTTAACCATCCATAAAGCCTTCCTTAGCCCTTCCTGAACCCCTACAGTGAGGACTTAAAATAGCTGATGATAATGATGACACCAAATAGCCTATTGTGTAATTTTGATTACCTTGACTGTGTCAAAATATGAGCGTTTTGCGGCGTAAATGGCCGTATGTTAATTCCGAAGTTACATTTTTTTTTCAATTTCAAGGGACTGTATATGCCTAAGCTACCTACCGATCTAAGTACATTGTTTAAATTTGAGCTACATATATCTTTACGTGTTCTCGAAATAAAGACAAACACACAACGAGGTATTTTTTTTTAATGTAAGATATCCTAAAAAGTAGATATATAACTTAAATCAAAATACCTAGTAATGATATTAAAGATGGCCCATTGAGATGCTATCACCATTTTGACAAAAGTTTCTTGAATATATGTTGTAACTCAAGGAAACTCTTAGCTAAAAAATATTTGTAAACTTTTGTAAACTTGTACATGGAAAATACCGTAGTTATTCCAATAGACGAAACAAGGAAAAATCTTATAATGCATGTACGTTATGTATGTATTTATTTAGTGCATTATTAGGTTATTACATTATTTGAACAAAACCGCAACAAAACACCTAAATTCACTTATAATGATAAAACAATTAATAATCTACATTTAAAAATACAGACTAATTACTAGAACAAATAGAAGAATGCGATAAAATGGATCATTCATTCCCAAGAATAGTGTTACCAAACTAACTTAGCAGAATCGGTTTCATGTAGAGACTAACTTTGATATCTCCAGGCAATTAGGTTATTCTCTTGGTCTTAAAAGCACGTTTCGATTTCCCTACTAGAACTGGTTTAGCCACTTTACGATATAAGTAATGTTTCACATTTATGTATAATATTGTTTTATGTTATAACAGTATTTGATGTCATCATACATAACACAGGTATGTGGGCGTGCCGGAAGCTATAAGGCCTGTTTTAAGACTATTTTTAATTGAAATTTACATTTTTTAAGTAGATATCATCATCATCATCATCAACCCAGTTACGGCCCCACTGCAGGGGCTCAGACCTTCTTATGGAGGGTTAAGGAGGATGGGCCATGATCCTCCACACGGGCCCATTGCGGATTTGGTATTAACGACTGCAAATGCTGGCGGGGCCATCGGCTCCACGTGCGTTCAAAGGCACGGAGTAGCTCGAGATAATAAATTTTTGGTCACCCATCCCGTGACAGACCCTTCCGAAAGGTGCTCAACAACAACGACCGCGGGCGCGGATCCACTACGCCACCGAACAACTCCGTGAGTAGGTATACAGACGTGGAATGCTTGTATAACTGTGTATTGACGATGTCTAAAATAAAAGTAATTTAAATCTTTCATTCTTGCATATGACAAATTCATAATTTTAAAATATTTAAGTAAAAGAGAAAATACAAAAGTATCTTTGGCTTATATTTATTCTCTATATATTACCGAAAATATCGTTATGTCATATAAGAAAATATGTGGACATATTTTTTTAATTTTAATATATAAGTATTAAAAAAATATGGATAAGCAAATGAAAAAGCAAAATGCTTTTTAATTAAAAATTACAACAAACTTGTAAACTTTACATGAGAATTTTAAAAAATAAATTTAATTTTTAGGTATGTCAATACACTAATGAATTACATACCGTATTTTTTTTGAAAATGAATTAATTATAAGTACTTAAATAAAAATAACGTTTTTATTAAATTAATAGTAGAACCGAAAAAAACAAAGGAAAATATTAATTAACCCTACATTAATTAATGATTAATTGTTTCTCTTCTACTTTTGTTAAAGATAACAAAACGCGATCTTATCAAAGATACAAATATCCATTACTAAGGAATGTCACGTGTGTCTGACGAAAAATACAATCTACAACACTAAAAAGGCGGGAAAACTTTATTGAAACTTACCCGGTGTTAAGGAAAACTCCAGTCGGCGATATAAAAATTCCAGAACCAATAATCGTTCCTATTATGATGCCCACTCCATTGAACAATGTTATTTTACGTTTTAACACCACTTTTCCGTCGCCGGCCTGTGATTCTTCGCCCATCACGCAAAAAATCAATCGCGCACCGGTAAAACAACGCACGTGGGTTACGCAGAAGTTCGATCGCGACGAGAAAATTAAAAATCACCGATAACAGTACAGACCGTCGCGAGGTCTCATAAACGACTGTATTAGACAGTATCACTTTCTGTGACCATTTTGTCGATGTAACAAGGCGGCCTGGAATAGGTTAGCTTGTTGACGTCACTGCCAAGCGGAGCGCACGGCCGCACGATCTGTCGCTACAGCGCATGTGAACTCGCGTGAATCGAGCATTGTACGAGCCCCTAGTTCAATCACTGTTTTGTGTACCTTATCTGTACACCATAAAGTTTATTCGACTCCACCGATCACTGCTGTAGAATAACCGACGATGTCCGATGTCGCACGAAAACGACTATAAAACAATTTACTCTAAGTTGTTGTCGTCGACGGAGTTTTAAAAGGTGCAAAAACTGGTTTTTTAATTTAACATTTAACACTAATCAATACGCATAAAGCTTATTAATGGGTGGATAAAACGTTTTCTACTACTAAAAATTATCGTAAATTTTTACCTACGTTTCTACTTGTTGTGATTTTTTCTGACGATAATAACAAGCGAATTGCATCATCTTCGAGGAAGGCGCATTGATTTAGATTCTTATATTATGTTTGATAGAGTTCTATAAAAAAGAATGCATCTTTCGATAAACATACAGTTGTTTATTAGTCTGGCCTAATAATTTGTATTGTATCATTATTATTTTATAAATAAAACAGTAATTTCCCGTAAAACTTTTAAATTGATTCATAATGTTTCCGATAGGAGAAATGTAGAGGCAATAACTGTTTCTGCTTATAAAAAAATCTCTTCGTGTTTACTTACTCATATTTATATAACCTTATTTTGTAATAATAGTAATTATTATTAAATATTTTGTGGGCAATATCATGAAATCGTAATAATAAAAATCCTATCACGTACGTCATATAGAGCAAGCGCAACGACTGACATCAACGTAATAAATAGTATGATTACCGTGACCATTAATTTTTGTAAATGGTGGAATTCTCTAAAACACCTTATTCAACTTATTCAAAAGCAATTCCATGAAAATATTATATTTAACTGCTTAATTGGTTAATTAATTGGAATGAATTAATATTAGCAGATCATTGTTTTCTAATAGGGATAATATAGTCGGATAATAGAAAAATATTAAACACGTTTTTATTTGCTTTAATTTAACAAAAAAATAAATAGCTTTGATAATAGGCCACTATCCCACCAAATCCCACTCATCTGTCCACTCGTTACGTCACAACTACTGAAAATGTACAGAAGTCATGCGACATTTTAACTCAATGTGTCGCCGTAATTTATAGGTTTCGCAAAAAATGACTCATAATCCCAATTGAAAGAGCAAAGCAATTTTTAAATAAGAATACTTCTTATTTATTTATAGGACATAACTCATGCCGGTATTAAGCAAGCAAAACCTAAGAATTGGCTTCTGTGTATATCATATTTATGAGAGCACAAGCTGGAAAACAAGACTTTCCCGTCCAGTGCATGACGTATGGTCACACTCGTAAAGATATCCTAAATCCTTACGAAGCCGAACTATATAAATTCTTAACGAGAACTCATTGAATCAATATTATTATGCTCATTAAGAACATTAATTTATTGTTAATCATATGTGCAAATTAGGTGTTACAAAATATGCAAAAGGAAATGCCAGATTTATGCACTGCTAGTTCACAAGCACTTTATATATGCTTATCTACATCATCACCAGCTAATTAATGTCTCACAACTGAACCTTCCTATGGATGGAATCGAATCAAGGGCCCAGTGCGGATTCGTGGGTGTTAACGACTGCAAGTGCAGCCGGAACCAACAGCTTAACGTGCCTTCCAAAGCACGGAGGAGCTCGGGATAGTAAATTTTTGGTCACCCATCCTATGACTAGCCCTTGCGAAAATACCTTATCAACTGTATCGCTCAAATCACTGCGCCATCGAGCTCCTACTATTGTTCTATATACTTATTAGGAATATAATAGCGATATAGCGACTCCTTTTCATACGAGTAGAACCCTTTCATTTGATACCAATATTATAAGACTGCTGAAAGATACGGAAATCCTTCTTAAAAGTGTAATGTTGGTGTGTAACATTATTTAAGCACATCCTGAAAGTAGTTTGTTTCAAATGAGACACTGATTCGATTTCAACAACTTCTAATATAGGAATTTTTTGGTTAAATTTAATTGGAAACAAGTAGGGTAGCCTGGGTACGGTTGTAACAGAGTACGGTTGTAACAACTCGAATATCATCGAAACTATGAATGGTAGGCGAGGGGCAAAAAGGGAAGGGCACGCGGATAACAAATCTCGACACGATCGCCGATATAGAGTCATCTTTCGCGCTGTAATAACACTTACAAGGAAGCCCCTTGTGTTTTTTCAACCAAAAGTACCTTTAGTTATACCACAATCGTATACTATCACATCTGCAATAAAATTTTAAATTAGTGTGACGTGTTATGTAATTTTCTATGTTTACAATTTGCAGAGATTTTTACATTTTCAAAACTCGGATAAATGGTATCTCATGTTAAGTGGTTAGAATTTCGCGACATCTATTATGTTTTCACTAATAACTTCTATTAGTGGTTATTTAGATTTTTCATATAAGAGAAATGAGATTAGGGCGTGAAGGAACAGTATGACCGCTTTATATCTCTAGATATTAAATCAAATATACAACCAAAGAATGTATTCGAACGTTTAGTATTGTATTTAAAATTTGTACTTATTTTTTTGGTCAACATATGTCTTTTTTCTATCTATATCTTACCTTAATGACTTGTTCTGTTAAATGAAAATTGAGTATATCCCAACATTCCAAGGATAGCAATTAAATGATTTTATTGAGTGACTAGAAATAATTATTTATTATGAGTTAAGCTTCAATTAATCTATTGTTTAGTATATTTTAGACAATGGAAACATAATCTACACGTGTTTCTGTATAGAAACAAGCTTTTTTGGCCATTATTAAAAAGGAAACTACTATTTGATTTGTGTTCAGTGTATATTTTGTAAATTAAATTAATAATTTTTTCTTATGATAAAATGTTAACTATCTCATAGTCAATTAAGTATGATATTTATATTTTTGTATGCTAAATGAATTATGATATTCAATGTGATAATATTATTTTGTTTGAATTTTTAAAAACCTATCAAACCACCTCAAACTATTTCATATGTGTACCTACTCGCATACTTTTTAGTACCTAATTTGTTCTAAATCAAAGCAGACACCTATTTTTATTATGGATCTTATTATTGATGCCAATTTGTATTAAAGCTAATATAATATTTTTAGTAAAATCAAAAATAGTTATTTTCAAAATACACTACTATAACTAAAGGATTTAGTTATAGTAGTAATCTTTATGCTACAGAAATTTCTGGGGTATTTCTTTATGATATAGCTTAAATATTAATATAATTATCATATTTCGAAATGTGCTTATGTAATCGTCGTATTTTTAAGATTATAATAAGCTCATTCGTTTTTGTATAAGTTATGCTACCTCATCCTTTTGATAGACTTATTATCAAAATGGGAGGGTTGGGGACGGTTGTAACGATTTTCATGGGGACGGTTGTAACATTAATTTTATAATATTTTTGTATTGTGGATGCCTAGGAAACGCATAAGAAAGACTTCGGGAGGTGGAAATGACATTTTGTCGTACAATAACACTTACGATGAAGTATAAATTAAGGGCTTATTTAAAGCAAGCTGCAGAGATACAAGCGAAAGCCTGTATGCAGTTTATTAAGATAACCAAGAACAGGTTGCACATGTTAGCATGGGATATGTAGCTCATAATAGAGTTTTTAGCGAATACCAAGAGCAGTATTATTGCCTTCTTTGCCTAGAGACGTATTTTGGCACTCGGTCTGGAGAGAGTTGGATTCAGTGTCAAGGAGGCTGCAAACAATGGTCTCACGTAGCTTGTACTGATGAGAGTATAAATTATATATGCCATAATTGCGATGAGTTTGATTTAATATAGAAAAAAACTATTGTATAACTTCAGGTATTCTTGACTAACTTTGATTAATTATTATTATTTAAAAAGACTATTTAAATGTGCCTTAAATGTTGTTATTTTGTATTTAGTGCATTTAGTTATTTTTTATGAATAAAACTGATTGATTACGTGGGATTTATATATTATTTTTTAGCGTTACAACTGCCCCACATAAGTGTTACAACCGCCCCTGGTGTGGGGTCGATTGTAACAATCGCACACACTCTTTAAAACAGCTTATTCCTGCTAAACTGTCTTACCTAAGCTATTGGTTTTGATATTAATTTAAAGACAAATAAATATACTTTCATTTCAAAAACTTTGATGGTTGTTTCCAGTTGTAATAGCTGTGCTGTGGACAATTAAAGAAAAATTGTTACAACCGTACCCAGCCTACCCTAAATTATGGTCACCAGTAAACATTGCAGTCATCAAATAGTGAATTTAATTAGGCTTTTTAAATTGCACCATATTCATGTAAAAAAATACAACGTAGGAAAAGAAACAAAAATAATTAACTTTCTTTTAATGTGCCTTGAGTCTGAAATGCTCTTAAACGCTATGATGGACAAGTTCACAAACCGAGCGGTAAAATCCTATTATCCTATTATTTCCTATTAATATTATAAATGTGAGTTTCTTTGTTTGGATGTTTAGATGTTTCGATGTTTGTCGGTCAATCACGCCGAAACTACTGAACGGATTTTGATGAAATTTGGCATACAAATAGGGTATCAGCTGACTTAGATAATAGGATACTTTTTATCCCACTTAACATTTCCCTAGGGTCCACGCGGGGCGAAGCCGCTGGCGAAAGCTAGTAATTCATAAACAAAGACAAAAATATTATACCACAAATAAACATGCCGTATGTGACAAAGGTGACAGCGGCAGTGGATGGTTATTTATCGCAATATAAGTTTGCCGAATTTTCAATTCCACGTGCTTATGATTCTTCGTTATACTAACGTACAATAAATACATCGAAATGCTTAAGGATTAGGCACAATGTGGTGATACTGTGGTCACCGTGTGATATGTGATCGTAAGACTATGCTAGCCGACGCTCATAACAAATGAAAATCATAATTATTGTCTAAACTTAAAAAACACTTTCAATCTCGAAACAGAATAATATTTCAAGTCGTCGTTTTTTTTATTGTTATAAGAAGGTAGTATCTTTGTGGTATTGCACTGTAGATGTAGTTGAAGTTGCAGGCTAAGCCGCAATTTTGACGTCACTGTGTGGATTTCTAAGATGTCCACACTGTTACCCAGCAATTATTATAACTGTGTCCATATAAACAATGTTTTAGTACATAAAAATAAAAACAAATTTTCGTTTAATGTTACACGTTGTATGGTGCATATTTTTGCCCGAACATCGAATGCAGACACAGCGCTGCGTATGCGTTTTACGTTGCGTTCGTCACTGTATTTTTAAGAAAATAGCAAAGCTGCTTTCGATCTAAACTCGATCTATAGCTAAAAACTACATCTAAAATTTTGCAATGATTAAAAAGCTAGATAAAAATATAAATTCAATTCAAAAAGCTAAAAATAAAAAGTTCCTGGGGACGGTCGACTTCTTCCCGTTTTCGCTATAGTTAATTTATTTGAAATAGATTGGCTATGGCGGTGATATGTTTATAATTTTTCTATAGGCCTAGCCTAGGTGTTTCATTAAATATGTAAATGTTCCGACGGAACTCTAATACCTCTGAACAGTCATAAAATTTGAACAGTCTAAGTTGTAAGGAATTGTGAAAGTCTATAAATTACCTACATCATCGAGTCGTTTCACGGCCTCGGCAAGGCCTTGTAAAGAAAAACTGTCGGAAACCCGGCAAGGTATTTTTCCTAGTGCTTTTTTTCTATTTGATTACTACGGATAAATACTTACAACAAAGACACACATATATCTAAGTTAACTTTTGTCGTGACAAACATACTACGTTTGTTACTATACTATGTTTGCTATACTATTATGCTATGCTATCGGCAAGTTGCACAAACGTCCATTAAGATTTAATGACGCTTTTAAGCTCTAATGAATGTCAAATTTGTATGAGTAATGTCACTTTAAACCACCCATCTCGTGACCAACCCTTGCGAAAGTTGATTAATAACTACAAAAAAATATCGGAGGCCGTATTATCCACTACGTTACCTCGCTACTCTTTTTACCGTCATGTATTATTTCTAATATAGATTATATATAGAAGTATTAATGTGGATAAGTGTAATATTTGATTACGCAGATGTAGATACCGATTCAAAGACCTTTTCATTTTACTTTTGAATTATAATGTAAAGGAGATCGAAGAACAGATGAGAGGAATGAGAGGCAGAGCTCTCCTTGTATTCTCTCTCCTACCTACTCTCCTCAAAATTGGCTATATGGGGTGTCTAATTGTTAATGCTACACTCGACAAATTCTCAGTTGTGATATAATAGTTTAAAATTATTCTTAAGACTTGTTTTAATTCATTATTTCGTGACTATAAGAATGCAAACTGACCTAGTTTTTTAAACAATTTATTTTGATTAACTGAGTTTCTTCATAATCTTATCTATGTTACAGATAAATGACCGATTTATCTCGTTTATAAATATGTGCAATATGTTCGTACCAAGGCAGACCTGAACCAGTTCATATGTAGGCAGCTACGTAATCTATTCTTAATGTAAAATAACAAAATCAGAAAGACAATAATACTTATAAATATAGATATCTACGCTGAAAAAAGAAGAGCAAAGCCTATACTTTTTTAACTTGCTAAGTATCAAAGTATGCACTTACATAGTTTATATATTATGCAAATAGAATCGATTGTGATCGTGTTTTTGAAGACATCGCGGGAGACATCCTGAAATAACATGATTTTGCAGCAGCGGAGCGATGCGCCCGCGTCGCGGCGCTGTCGTCGCACACTTACCCGACGCCATTTTCACACAGTCTGCGAGCTTTCCCTCACCAGGTGCGTGTGGTTGCCCTCACATTGTCATTAATTTTAGGCACACAACTTCAAAAATAATAACCAAATATCGAATTTATGTTACTTACGTATCTTATATTACTTTTATATCACAAAACACTGTAACTATAAACTGTTTTCTATCATCTCTCTAAAACAAGAACATTGACCCTCAAGAGAACACGTAACACCTAGCATGTTTTTTGTTCTTATTTATAATTACTGAATATATTACGATGTTTTATATTTATAAAAGGTAGTCGACAGCACATTAATTATTTGTAAATTATAAAAACACTTGTGCGAACCCTCAGGGCACACCGAGGGCTAATAACAACTAAATGTGGTCTGAGGAATGTGACCGTCATGTTTCGGTTACATCAACGCATAGGCGGACAACAGTGCACTGCCTATTCAACTCTACAGACTAATTGGACAGAGTGCTGTTCGAAAGACAATCTATTTGTGTCATCATGTCCTTATTTTTTAATAGATCACCAAGCATCCCCCGCAGCGGCACCGTTGCGAGACATGAGTCGTGTCGCAAGCTGCGGAGACCTTCGCACGTGCTGACACTCCCTTAGTTCACGTGTACATATCAATTATTAAACTACTTTATCTCCGATGACTCTTATTCATTGTATGAGAGAAACACCAATGGATGTTCTGGGAAAACAACAGAACAGGGAGGACGGTGGGAAATCATCAAGACCTGTCAGAAACAGACGATACACACGGTCAGTATATAAATGACTCATTAACTTTCAGTTTCAGTGTTTGTGTTGTGTTCTTTGTGCGTCACTGACGAAATATGACGAAACGAAACAACAGTGTCCTTTATGTAAAATTTTGACGTCAGCATGTCGTAACAATAAATCTACAATTACTGAAGAGTATCATTAACTTTTTTGATTGACATGGTTATGTTATGGTAATAAATCTCTTTAACTTTCCACTGTCTTTGTAGGAGAAGCTTAGTAGCGGGACAGAGGCCACAAAAACGCCTTTTCACGCCAGAAATAAAGAGATATTTAAAAGACTGGCTTGTGCGACGAAGAGAAAATCCTTATCCTAACAGAGAAGAGAAAAAAACCTTGGCACACGATACTGGACTCACTTACATTCAAGTATGTACAATTAAGGAATTGCTATTAAATTTTCACCTGTCAATAACGAATGGAAGTTTTTACTTGTGTATCTACTTGAAGTGATTCTATTCGTTTTAAACAACCTAATTGGAGCAATGCCAAGAATAACCACTTATTATATATCTACATAAATAGGCACTATATTTAACACTGGTTTGTTAAACGTACAAGTTACAGTATGGCAGCATAATTATTTGGTTTGATTTATTATCCTAATGTTTCATGCATTCGACACCTAGCGATTCTGATCATCCTAAAACATAATGCAGCTTCTGCGTCTGTGTTCGCAAAATTCTAAAATAGTTAGAATTAACATCAGTACTCTGCTACTAACCAGTACTCTGCTTTGCTCTACTCTGAGTACTCTGACTATTATTCTTTTGAATCCCAAGCTTTCCGCGGATGTACAGGTATCTCTGACCAAGCCGTAACTATTAAACCCGTAGAGCGATCTAACTCTCGTTATACTTCTAGCCGTAGTATAAAAAAGGGCTTATTGATTGAATCATTAAAAAAAACATACATCGCCGTTGAGCGCATAACCTCCTCCTTTACGATTTTGAAGTCGGTTAAAAATATTAATTTTCTTTTATAAGGACACTAGCTTTTAAATACCTACGTTGTTGTTTTCTAACCTTTTCTAACCGTTTGGTTTACTTCTATATTTGAAATAGCTTTATTTGTCAAATTTTTTTTAACATATTTTAATTTTTTTTATCGAATTTATGTAGGTAGTTCAGAATACTACAAAAACCACAACCATTGATTAATTTATATTATCAATATGTTTTATTATTTTTATTATTATTACACTTATTATTATTTAAACAATGATATATTCAAATTAATATTGATAAAAGATAATTGATGAAATCTCTCATATCCCGCACAATACCATTCTCCACATACTCATTCACCTTCTTGTAATAACGTTCACGCCATGACATGTTTCATTGAATAAAAAGGGTAACCACGCTTCAACTTTTCACGACAGGTGGTTGAAGAGGCCTAGTTTCCTTTGCATTATCAAAAAAACCGGGATAGTGCAAGTCGGACTCGCGCACGAAATGTTCCGTACAATTACCCTTAGAACAACGCAAGGAAATCACGTTTGTTGTACAGGAACCACCTTATATATTTATTTTATTTTTTTGTATTTGTTGTTATAGCAGCAACAAATATACATCATTAGATACAGCCTAGTGACAGATGTATAAGTAAACAGACAAACAGCGAAGTCTTAGTGACGGGGTCCCATTTTTCCCTGTGGGTATGGAACCCTAAAAAGTTATACAGCCAGGACCAATAACACAACATGTTTGGCAAAATAGTTACGTAGATCAGGACCTGGTGTTGATAACTTTAACGAAATAATAGTACTTCAATGACGTCCCAATAACTGCTTTATTCACGTAACGCCAAATATAATACAATAGGTAGCGTCATGATGAACTGACAATGTCAGATTCTTTTGTTATTTTGCAATATTTATAAATCATTGTATCAAGACACCTGCTATTGGAACACAACAGTCAAGCTATAGTGATTGAGCCCAAAAGGGATCGGGAATAGGTACTTTGGTACATGATTATTATCGGGTGGGCAATCCGATGATAATCCTGAACAAAAGTTACGCCTGAAGTTCATACAACTGTACCCATTAAATTATTTTTCACATCTCATTACAGATCTGCAATTGGTTTGCGAACTGGCGACGTAAATTAAAAAATGTCAACGTGGATCGGAATCAACAAACATGGGGTCACCTTATACGTACTTACAACGACCGCGCTCAAGGCAACGTTGAACAATTCAGTATCTGCTCAGAGGATAGCATATGGAGTGAACCAGAGTTAGCGAGCCTCAACGGCTCTATGGATACAATTGAGTCGAGATACGCAGACAGTTCCGACACAAACGAATATCAAATGGAAGATTGCATCACGTCCTCATTGTCGAATGGGAAATATGAACATTTTAATAACAACATAGATGAAAATATTCGTGAAGAAACTAAATCGTTAACGAGCCCTCTATTACTTAGCAAATGGTTGGAAAGCGCAGCACGATTTCAACCGAGCGTGACTAATTACTCGTGCTGGGCTGACGGTAAGCGACGGAAAATGGAAAAACCGGATGGTAAAATTCAGAAACTTCCTTTGAAAACAATGCGGCATGATAGAGATGAAGTTGAAGCAGCGGTCGCTTTAACGACGCTGGCCGGCGCCGCAAGTCGTCTTACTACCCCTTAGTTTAAGGTTCTTTATTATTACGCCTCTTGTAAGATTAAGCCCTTTGGGTTATACCAAAACTTTTTACTATTATTTTCTACTTATTACTATTACCACTACTATCGGGTTTACGTTGTAACTCTGTTGTTCCTAAAAAGATATCTCACCAGTCAATTGACCAGATCCTTTTGTATGGAAAATTTTCATTTGAACTATCAAAGCAAATGACGTTACGATTGTAAGTAAATTATATTCAAGACTTATTAGAATACCTTGAATTTGCTCAAGTATTAAATTTAATGATAAGCCATTAAATAAGTTTTAATTTGCTTATAACCATGTGTAATATTTTGATCTCCATTAGTTTAGTTCTATTATAACTGATTAACCAAAGATTGTGTATAATAAATTTATTGAAATGCAAAATAATTTTATTCAAATAGCCTTAATTTAAATAAGCAAATTTTTATGCAAAATTTATTGTTGAAACTTTTCACCTAAGGCAATATTGAAACCTGTATTTTTCTACAAATCTAGGCCAAAAACAGTCTTTCTACATACCAAAACCCAATTTTAGTTCCAATACTTATCAAATTACATGTGTAGCACTTGAAATTCCTTTAAGATAACAGCAGTATTACAAAGGTTTACTTTACAACTTTTAAAAATAATTTATAAATTAAAAATCTCTTACAATCACTCTACACGCTCACAGGGTCAGATATATAATACAAGTTTTTTTCACATATAGATCTATATTAACTATTCATATATAAACATAATCTAAATAAAACCTCATTCCTTACTCTCAGTTGATTGAGCAAGTGACATAATTTCTATGTGTTTCTCAAGATTAGATACTAAAGTCTGTTGGCTTTGATTCAATTGACCAACAAGACAAGAACCTGCACTATCCAAGACTGCACATAGTTGACTTCTTGCTACATCTAAATTAGGAAGTTGACTGAACTGTAAAAGTTCATTGCGTGACATTAATCTGTCATAAACAATTCCACCTGTAAACATAATTATTTTATTAATATATATTTTTTAATTAAAGATTAATATTTAACTTATAAAACTATATATATTATAGCAACTATAACCTCTCAAAAATGAGACAGGATGAGCAATTTCTTTCTATATTTGTTGCATTGTCGAAGATTTTTATTTAATCTAAGAAACTTATGTGAATTAATAAAATTTTATTAATAAGTTTATTAATAGTTAATAAGTTTATTATACATAACATACCCATGACAACCATTTGAGGGGCTTTTTTGAGAACTTTTAATAATTTGTCAGCTTTATCTGGTTGCCCAAATATAATATTTTGATGAGATGTAAATAAACAGTTGACAGCTTCATAACGAGTGCCTTTTATAGCCATGTTCACTATCTTTTTGCCATATGTTCTTAAATGCATATCATTTTTCTTTAATGTAGCAAATATTGGAGTTTTATATTCCATACTTATAGAATTCATGTGCAAAAACACAACCATTTTTGAAGTATTAAACCAATTCAAACATTCTGTAGCTAATATCCTTTCAAATGGATTATCAATTTCTATTTTTCTTTTGCCTTTATCTATATCGCAGAGCATAGATTCAGGTAGTTTGTACTTTGGTGTGCCGTATACAGGTTTAGCAAGATCAATCAACAACTGCCTTTCGAAGTGTGGTTTCTTTGGTCGTTGAATATTTATTTTTCCTCGAAATCTCTTAGCGACGGTAAAAGGTGCTCGCGCAAGTAATAACGCTGTAAAAAAGAAAAGTCTTAGTCCAAAAAATTAAGAATGAATTAATTAAGTGATTTTGTAACAATAGATAAGGTTATTTTATATAGAACATCAAAATTTGTTACCATTATTTAACGAAGTCATTGCACAAACTTATGTACATTCACTAAAACGTTTTTAATTGAACGGTAAATTATTATTTTAAATCATAAAGTGAAGATTACAAATATTTTCTCATATTTGTTAAAATATGGACAGATTGTCTGACCGTCATGTCAACATTACCGTCTATGATTACCGTTCTCTATGACTGATGTCAACATGTTTCTTATTTATTTGCTTATACACTGTAGTCTTTGTTATTTACTCTGTGATGTTAACTGTCACGTCGCTCGCGATGGTTTAAACGTCGGATCTTTACCATCTTTCATAAATTTCATTCCCATTTTACATTCAATAAGTACAAAGAAATTAATTATTCAACGTAAAAAAATAATCAATTTTTTGTTTGGAAATATTGTACCTAGTCTAGCCATACATTATGTTACTGGCTGTTCACATACGTTTAAAAAAAACATTCATTTGAATTTCGAACATTAGCTTGTACGATAAAAAAAGACTTCTTTCCGCTGATGAAATTGAGTTTTGAAAATTAATTTACTTTTATACATGAAAGATAACCGGGAGGGTTGTCATGGAGAAATCAAGAAAGTACTGCAGCGACATCTAATTTTTTTTTTGAGAACTAGTGTTTTTTTTTAAATACTTCCTCATTATATTTGGTAATTTAACTAGTAAAATAGTAATTTCACTTTATATTACCTAATTATTTAAGTTAAAGTTTAAACAGTGAAACTGTGGAATAGCCTTAACACCAAAGAGAAAAATAATACAAATGGAAGTTAACAACATTATCTCAATCAATTTTAATATACAAAGCTGTATGGGACAGTTCCCTTGACATTTATTAAATTAAAACAATAACCTCCGAGGTGCAAACGCGAACGTCAAAAAAGTATCAAAAAGGAGAGCAAAAGTCGAAGAAGTGAGTATGTTTTTTATTAACTCTTGGTAAAAAAAAGAAAAATATAAAATAAAACTGGGACTTCGTATCATTTATTTTAATGAACCACGAAAAATCTTAGCAATGTTTTCTCGTAACAACTAAATTTTACGATAAGTAAATATTTTTTAATCTACTTCATTTCAACTTTTCTACGATGTGCGTAGATGTATACATATTAAGTAATAATTGTGTTATATTAAAATAGTAGGATAGGAATCAGAATCGTCCTACATTCCAATATTGTCGGATAGTAAACTTTTTTATGGTTATTAATAACCTCAAATAGTTGACAGGTAATCAAATTTTTTCTAGTGTACAGCATAGGTGCGTAATGAAAAAGTTTAAATGTAAATTATTAAACTTACGAAACCGCTAAAATTGTCACTCATAATAAAAAAACCTTATGTTAGGATTACAAAAAAAAAAATTAATAGGGCTGTATGGACCTAGCATCCTTTGCCCGTCCCAAACAAGGGGGACAAATTAACCAAAAAAAAAAAAAAAAAAAAAAAAAAATTAAATACCTGCTGATGTACCTTTTCAACCAGTGAGTATTATAGCGTTCCTTTTGTTCGTTCAAATTACAGAAAAATGAAGAATGTTCAAGAAGACACTCCTCCGTCGTCAATCAATGGTGATGAAATATCAAATATGGATGAAGATGGAATTGTTTACTATGAAGAAATGGAAGAAGTTCAATTTGATGATGAAATAGATGGTGAAGAAGATTACACAGATATCGAACCACCCGAGGATCATGCAGCTTTAGTGTTTGATAAGCATTCAGGTTCTGTTTTCTGTGGCAACTTACACCCAGAGGGCAAGTTGGCAGTTACAGGTGGAGAGGACGACATGGCCCATGTTTGGTCAACAGAAACTGGTGAAATTGTAATGAAATGTGATGGGCATAAGGACTCTGTGATATTTGCTGAGTTTAGTTTTTGTGGCACTTATTTGGCTACAGGAGACATGTCCGGAGTGATCAAAGTTTGGCAATGCAATGAGAACCCACAACACCCATGGCCCGTAATATTTGAATATGAAGCTGGTGATTTATCGCTTGGCTTCTGGCATTTTGGAGCTAGAGTATTGATAGTTGGCACTGACAGTGGTGATATTTTTATTTTCAAAATCCCTACTGGTGAAACTAAAGTATTACAAGGTCATAATATCAAGATTGAATGTGCTAAGGTTTGTATTAAATGTCAAATGAAATAAAGTATTATATTTTGATTAATTTTGCATTCACAATGCCATAATCAAAAATATTATTAATGCAAAATGGTTAAAAAATCCACTTGGTCCCTGGCAACCTGAGAAACAGCTGTAAAGAAAAACTACAAAAATTCTAAAATAAAGTTAGCATTAATAAAAACAATAAATAGTTTATATTCTAAAAATCATCAGATTTAAGCATACAGATTGTAGTAAAATAACAAGGTCTATTTTATTATGATGACTATACTCATCGCCAACTGAAATACAATTTATTTCCATGTTGATGTTAAATGCATTAAAATTATGCATATTATATTACATTGATATCATTTACAGGTATTTCGTGATGGAAAAAGACTAGCAGCTGGATATGAAGATGGTGCAATGAAGATATGGGACCTCAAAAATTGTCAAGTAATCCATCAAGTTCCCTCTAACATACATCAAATGAGAATAACAGATGTTGACACGCATCCTGAAAACAACTTAGTAGCTTCTATATCAACTGACGGTAAATGAGATTTATATTTATTTAGATAATATTTAAGTCATTATTAACATTACTTATACAGGAGGTTAATACCTACCTTTAGTTAAAGAGTCAGTAACATTATTCGTCAATATTTAAAAAATAAATCAATATTTACATTTTAATGAATTGAAAAGTATACACCATCTAACTGATTCTGAAATTTATTAAATGTATACAATCAAAATTACAAGTTGTTGTAATTTCGAACTTAACATCCACCGTACTTTAACACCAATAAGATATAAAAATATGTGGTAATAGACCAAAAGTTAGTGAACCAACACTTGTATGGCTTTATTATATTTGTACTAAAATATTTGCTATGCTATTACATTATCTATCATGTAAAAATATGAATACAGTTTTATATCTGAATCAATAAGAAACTATAATTGTATGTAATTTTAATGTTTTCATAATATTGCAATTATTTATATAAATATGTTACTGTTATTATTTCACAGGAAAGGTTGTGTTAACAGCATCAACTAGTGGAAAAGTAGTTAGTCAACTTCAGACAGACAATGATTTGGAGGTTGTAATATTTTCACATGATCCACAATTAGATTATTTTGCAATTGGTGAGTTCATTTTCAAATTTGTACTTCACAATTGTAGCATTTTTCAAGTAATTAGTAGTATGTTATCAGAAATAATATTTGGAAGCCATAAAAATTGGTGTGCAAAAGATTATGTATGTTAAGGAAGCAAAAATATCTGTGAATAATGTGCCTTGAGACACTTGGTTTTCTTTGCCTAGCCAGCAATAGAGCTGCTGTAAAGATAAAGATATATATATATATATGATGATTATTATACAAATAACCTTAATACATTTTATTATATTATAATATAATATCTTAAATTATTAACAGAAATATTAATCATTTAAGATATGATCTCAACAAGCAGACTGACAATATAGAAATAAACTAATTATTTTCAGGCACTTTGAATGGCTCTGTAAGTATATGGGATTCCACAAGACAAATGATCCGTTATCACTGTTCAAAGACTGGTGATGAGGATGCAACTGGGGTCACAAAGATGCTCTGGATTAAAGATCACTTGGTGACTGCTGGCTTGGACGGTTCAGTGACAGTATATGAAGGAAGATCTGGGAAAAAGCTACATGTCTTCACAGGACATGCGTCAGAGCTTCTAGATATGTGTTATAATGACAAAGCCAATATACTTCTTACTACATCTGATGATGGTACAGCCAGAATATTTAAATATGAATTTAACAAAGAAAACGATTGAACTGTATATTTTACAGTAACTAGGCATTTAATAATTATAGATAAATATATTTTTATAATGTTGATATTATAATTAAATGTTGTACATATTAACTGAATGTAATAATTAAATAGATAAGCTCATATATAAAAATATTTGTTTAATTTCAATATTAATCCACTCTGATCACCCGGGAGTCCTCAAATCATTTGGGTAATTTTTATAATGTGTATCCATAAACCACCTGCTTTATTGTAGTTATACAAATTTTACAAGCTTTTATTTGACTTGCCTTGTTAGTATGTTAGTGTACAAATCTTGGAACTGAAATTTGACCCACTTCCCAATGTCCGATGGATTTGAAATATTGCATAGACATAAAAGTCAGATGATAATGCAATATTATGTTGTCAGCAAGCCGATATCATGAAGTCGAAAAGTGGTCATAGGAAATTATAATAGTAATGAAATGACGCAACTGCATCGTGGTTGGGCTCATTAGATCCGTCATTATGAGGATTTAGGTACTGAATGCTTTCCAGACCAAGGTCTGCCCCATTACTCTCGCAAGCAATCGCGATCGATCGACATTGCGATTGTGCAAATCGTACTCTTGATTGGGTGTACTAGCGCCAGAGTATGCTAGTGAACCAATCAAGAGTGCGGACCGGCACAATTGTCATATCGAATGGCCGCGTCACGATTACGTTCGAGAGTAAGGAGGCTGGTGATGATCGAGCTGGAAGTTTAGGCTCTTTAGATCCATTTTTATGAGATGAAAAACACTTCGCAACACAGATGCTATGTCGATAATGAATAAATTGTTCTTTCAATTTGCCATGCCTGCAATAAAATTGAAGATGTACAACATTTGCTGATGGAGTGTATTAGAAACAAAAATGAGAGGGAGTCATTTATGAAAGAATTTAAATTAAATGTTTTAGATATAGGATTAATACAAAGTATTTTATCAGAACCGTAAATTTAAGATAAGCTGTAGTAAATGCTGTAAAAAATTACTTAGTGAAATATTGTTATCAAATGAATTTAGATTTAAGTATGGTATGATGGGGTTGGCATGTTCTAAAGAATAAAAACCCCTTAAAAATTAAAAGAATTAAAAAAAAAATTTGCCATGCTTAAAATTGAAACAAAAAACACCTTAGTTACAAAATACTTGTATTTTAATGGTATAATTATTTGAAAGATTTTAGTCGTCACATAATCAGATTAATTTCTTTACACATTAATCAACTACGAAGAAATAGCATTTATTTTTATCAAACCTCTTTGTTTACTTATTTTCTACTGATATCCCTTTTAAGAGTCCTGCGGTCAGTTGCACAAACGTCCATTAAAGTTAAATGACGCCTTTAAGCTCTAATGAACAAAATTGTATGGGGAATGTCATTTTAAACGAATTAAAATTTTAATGGACGATTGTGCAACTTACTGATGGCGGGACAAATTAAATAACTATAATTTACGAATAACATACTTTAAAGTGTCGAAAAATCAACGAAAGATATTTAGTCTTATAAAAAATTATACTACTAATAGGTTAGTCAATTATTGATCAAAATGTTTTCATGATCTTTTCCATGAAATTGACGAAAAAACTGACAATTATTGATTAACTAGTGGACGCCCGCGACTTCGTCCGCGTGGAAGTCGGTATCCCGTGGGAGTGAGAAGTTTTCCCAGTAAAAAGTACCCTATGTGTTATTCTGATGTATAACCTATATTGCTGTAAAGTTTTATCCAAATCCGTCCAGTAGTTTTTTCGTGAAAGAGTAACAAACATCCATACATCCATACTTACAAACTTTCGCCTTTATAATATTAATAGGATAGGATGTTCGACGGCGATGATTTTTTTTTTGTATGTTCACAGATTTTCCGCGAATTGTTAATCAGTTTTCAAAATTATTTTAATCATTTATTTTATTAGACAGCTTACAGACCCGAAGAGGTCCCATATAAATTTTATCTAAATCAAAATTGTTAGTTTTGTTTTTAATGCAAACCAAAATATTCTTTTCACTAAATACCACCAAAATATTTAGCCGACATTTTTATATCAGCGAAAATACATTCGTTCGAAATCGGAATGGAGCCATTATCTATGTTCGACTGTTATGTATATTTTCTACGTAAGTATGAATAAACCATTCATCGATTTCTTCGTAAATTGTGCATGATTTTTTATCGAACTGTTTTCGCTTCGCCTTCGTATATTATAATCCCGCGTATGATCACGTCACGAAAAAGATTTTTTTTTTATAATCGGTACTTCTGGGCCTTGTTCGATGCAAACAAACAGACTATCAAATCCCTCCTATTTATAATATTAATAAAGATAAGTACTGAAATAAAAATATGTCGAGCCAATAAAAAAATCTCTTCTTAAGACTTTCACTAAGTTGACATATTTTGTGAAAAAGATGTTTTAAATAAATTCAATGTCACTAAAAAACATGAAATATTTGTTTTAATAGAAGCGACATCAAACTTTAAAAAAGTGAGAAATAATTATAACACAAGCAACTTAATTACTTAAGAAACTGAAGTGGGGCGGTTACCACTTAATAACGCACAGAAAACCTCAATAGCAGTTGTTCAATAGCAGTTTCTTAAATAATTAAGTCGCTTTAAAGATAAGTAAGTATTGTAGATGTGTTATTTCTCACTTTTCTAAAGATTTAAAAAATATACATAATATAAATTACGGTACGGTAAACAATCACCTTAGTACTGTAAGACATCGAGTCACTACAAGTCTCACATTTTTTTGATCATGAGATAGTAGGGTGACATCTCTGGTTCATCATCTATTTGAAAATAATTTTTCAAACAAATGCAACAGATATTAAGGATCACGTTCTTGTATGCATGATCAAATATCTGAAATGAACATGTCGGCATCGTTGCCAAATATCACGTAGGTAATTGTTAACGTGTCTAGATTTAAGTCTTATATAAATTTTATTGTATTATCAGTTATTTTACAGATCTAATAGTGTTTTGTACAAATTTCTTTTCACTTCTAACGCTCATTATAGCACAGCCTTTCCCAAAGTGGGCGATAACGTCCCCTTGTGGGCGCTGCAGACCTAAAGGGGAGCGGGAAAAAAAAGACCGAGAAAAAAAATAGGGGCGTTGTGTAGACTTGGTGGAGGGTGATTTATAATTTCATTTAGCTAGGTCTCTTTGACACCGACCCTCTCACTCTCAACTACAACTTGTGAACTTCAACTAATATTAGTTAAGAGATTGCTCACACTTTGATTTGATAATTCTTTCCACGTAGGTCATAATCTATCTTGTCTTATTGAATATATAAAATAAAAATCATGTCAATCGGTAGCTCTGTTTCGAAATGAAATTAGACACAACTAAAAACGCAACAGATATACTTTCGTATTTTAATAGTTATTAGTTCTCTTAGATAGGTAATTTTCGTCTATCTATAGTAGACCGCGGGCGATCATGTTTTAACATTTTCTTGTTAAATAACTAGAAATGTGCATTTCTGTATCAATCAGGTGGTTCATATAGTACTTGATCTTACTTTGTTGAGTACGATTACGTGTTGAATGAGATGAACGAGTTTATGCATGTTTGTTTTATTCCTGTCGGTACCTGCTGTTTCTGCAATTCCATATAAACAACGTAATATTTATTTTTTATTTTATAATGAGAAAGAGATTCCCTTGAAAAATATTATATCAGTTGCTACGGATGGCGCTCCGGCTATGACAGGGTGCTATAAAGGCTTCATAGCACACTAAAAAAAACAAATTCCAGATGTCCTTGCTGTACATTGCGTTATTCATAGACATAATTTGGTCGCTAGTAGTGTCCGACCGAAAGTCTATTTTTGGCCGAAGCCGAAGCCGATTAATCGGCAATCGCCATAACCTTCGGCAGAAGCCGAAGCCGAAGCCGAAGGTTTATAATCTCTCAGTAGGTAATTAATTTTGTTCAATATTGTCTACAAGCTACAATTAATATTAAAATTATTTCAAAACTTCAATATTGAAGGTTTATATTGATTGTCTCATATAGAAATTGATTTATAGATGGTAATAAAAGTTTGTGATTTTGTGATTTATCTGTAAAAAAATATCATTTTTTATTAAATAATTCACAAATTACAATTAAAACAATCGATCAGTTTTAATTTTATTCGACTAGACCGAAACTAGACTAATATATGATCAAACGAACTTCCTTGAGTGAAGATCGATCAATATTATATGAGTCGCTTCATTCGAAGATATAATATTTACAACGTAGTCCCTTTTCTTACCAGGCAACCCTCGCACGCTTTAGAGATTTTTTTTTTGTCTACCTACTAGCTCCCGCTATTTGATGTGTCATTCTTTTTAGAGAAAAATTTCAAAGTGAAACTTCTTGAGTTCTTTTCAGGGATAAGGGTGGGTGGGTTGCTTATATCTTCGAATGAAGTGACTCATATAATATTGATCGAACTTCACCCAAGGAAGTTCGTTTGATCATATATTATATTTCGTCGCTTCATTCTTCAGATATAATATTTACAACGTAGATGTTTAGAGATAAGTTTTGCTTTGTAATGAATAATGAACAAATATCTTTATCAAAATATTTATTTTGTATATCAACTACGTATTTCTGATTACAAAAAATATTTGCTTTTGTTTTATGTAACATAAAGGAGTCTCTAATGAAACCCAGAAATCTTGATAATAGCTTATATTTCTTCAATTACAAGATATTTTATGCGGAGATGTTATAGATATGACAAACATTATTTGAAGAGAGAGAATTACAATTTTTTATTATTCTACCTACAGTATTAATTATTGTACTGATACGTTAAAGTGTCAAAAATATTGCTATTTCAAATCTGAAGGAGCTTCGGCGTAAACATCTTCCCCCCGCTGAAAGAAGTCTTTCAAGCATCGATTTCTTCCGACGTTGGCAAACGACATAGACGAACCAATGGTCTTCGTATGCATCCCTTTGTTGTTTGTATGTCAGCAACTCGAGATATACCGTCCAAACCAGGGTACAAACGAGAAACTCTGCCAAGACGCCAGTTCAGTGGAGGCACGTGATCTTCTTGAAGTAAAACCATATCTCCGATGTTTAGTTTCGCCTTGTCA